GCTGAAGAGCTGAGGGATAGCACCCAGGCCCAGAGTTCAGGCCCCATGACCAGACCCCAAAAATAAAACAAAAAACCAAATGTACCAACTCTACCTGCATGCCTCCAGCTAGAATCAGATGCTAATGTCCTCCTTCTCCCCCCAAGAGTCCAGACAAGATCTGAGGGAGAGGAGATACTTTGCACAGTGAAGGAATTTCATTCATTTTTATCAATCGAAAGCCAGGAAATAAGAATTGAAAGTGACTCAAACATATCACAGAGGAAATACCTGTGCTGCTCCAGCACCTGGGAATGGCTCTAATCAGCTGCTCAGTTGATCAACTATGAATTAGGCTTGGTGGTTGTTCACATGGAATGAAATTGTTATGCCAAGTAATATAGACAAAGGAATTTAAAAAATCCTAGGGAAGGTGAGGCACTGGTGAAAGTTCAGCTGAGCACTGGTGGCTGATACCTGTAATCCTGGCTACTTGTGAGGGTGAGATCTGAAGATTGCAGGTAGTTGGCCTTGTGGAGTGGTGACTAATGAATCTTACCCTGGGCACCAAATAATGCTGCAGCTACACAATGGAGCCAGGGTGCAGCAGGTCTTCAGTATAAGGATTCCTCTTGGTAGTTACTTGGTTAGCAATAACTGTTCATGGCCAAAACAGGCAGGATTGCTAAAGGCCTTCTGAGATGAAATGTTTCACTCTGCTAACTAATAATCTCTCTGAGGGCAAGAGGAACAATGAACAAGGAAGTTATACAACCAACTAAGGTCTGCAGCCAGTTGGAAATAAAGAACCAGAGGAACTATACAGGTTTTCTTCTACAGAGAGAGAGAGAGAGAGAGAGAGAGAGAGAGAATGAATACGCATTAGTTCTTTGTTAAATGTTGGTTGGTGATGGTTTGTTTTATAGGCTAGTCTTGAAGATAAAGTGTCTTAAGGTAGACTTGTGACAAAAATACAAGATGAAAGAGCATTACATGTTAATGGGTAAAAAGATTTAAGGGCAAAATGAACATGCTCTTGTTGGAAAGAGTAGATTCAGCAGCAATGGCATTTCTTCCTTGCTTGAACAATGATTGGCACAAGGAGTGGGTGTTAGTTGTTTTTCAGTTTTTATTTGTACCCTGTTCTCTATCTCCTATCTATGGAATTGTAAGTGTGGGAAGCTAAAATGACAATTTCTAGATTCTTGTGGAGTTAAAGTTCTGGCTATAATCTGGGATCTTCCAGGGACTGGTGATCAGAAGTGCAGTTTTTCGGCAATTGGAAGAGAGAACAAGGCTGTTTATGGCAGGACCAGCTTCTACACTGTGGGATGGGAGTTGAAAAGGGATGATTAAGAATTAAGTTACCTTACAGAATTGAAGAAGTAAAAATGGCCACTAACTACATGAAGAAATGTTCAACATCTCTGGCCATAAAGGAAATATGCAAATCAAAAAACAACACTGAGATTCCGCCTCATTCCAGTTAGGATGGTCATTATCAAGAAAACTAACAATAACAAATGTTGGCAAGGAGTCAGCCAAAAAGAGAACTCTATTACACTGTTGGTGGGAATGTAAACGTGTTCATCCACTCTGGAAAGCAGTATGGATGGTCCTTAAAAACTAAACATAAAACTATGCTATGACCCAGCAATCTCACTCCTGGGCATTTATCCAATAGAACACAAAGTTACATTTAAGCCACCAGCACAACCATGTTCATTACAGCACTATTTACCATAATAAAGATATGTAACCCACCCAGGTGCTCCTCAATGGACAAATGGATCAAGAAAATGTGGTATGTATACATAATGGAATTTTACTCATCCATTAGAATGATAGTTTACCATTCATATGAAAATGGAAACACTTGGGAAAAATTATATTAGGTGAAGTAAGCCAGACATAGAGAAACACAGACTGCATTGTTTCTCTCATTTGTGGTAGCTCAAATGTGCCTATAAATCTACAAGAAAACACATTGGATGGTATGCAAGTGGTTACAAATGAATTAACTGAAATACAATAGACTCTATGGGGAGCTCAAATAGTATAATCTTTTAGAAAGACTAAGTCAAAGCCCAACAAAATCAGCACCAAGAAATGCCAGAAGTGGGTAAGGCCAAGGGGGTAGGCAAATGATTGGGGGAGAGAGGGCAGAATGCAATCAAGAGTTTATTGTATATGCCACAAAATTAAGAAAAATAAGGGAAGGGGTTGGCTGAAGGGGGATACATATGTTGAAGAGATGACACAGTCAAGATACATTGTATACATAAACTAGTTTGTTAAATGGCAAAAAATAATACATATCCTTAAAACTTAGGGATAGTGATGGAAGGGGGGGGTGAGAATGTTGAAAGGAATGACACTGTTCAAGACACACTGTCTTCATAAATTGCTTTGTTGAATGGCAGCTCCTATGTACATCGACTTTAAAAATAATAAAAATATTTTAAAAAGAATTAGGTTCTCTATGGAGTTGTAACTCCCCATACAACTCTTTATTTTATTTTTATTTTTATTTTTTTTTGGATCTGGTCATGGGACCTGAACTCTGGGCCTGGGTGCTGTCCCTCAGCTCTTCAGCTCAAGGCTAGTGCTCTACCACTTGAGCCACAGCGCCACTTCCGGCTTTTTTCTTTTTGCTTATGTGGTGCTGAGGAATTGAACCCAGGGCCTCAGGCATGCAAGGCATGCCACTGAGCCACCTTCCCAGCCCAGCTCATACAACTCTTTAATAATAACAATAAAATTATATTTTAAAATTCTGATTCAAGAAAATCTAATAAAGGTATATTGAGCACTTAAGAAAATTAGGTTCTTGTTTGAGCCTAGGATCAAATTTTGCCTGTAGCCAAAACTACCATGGACTATCCACTTATAAGAAGGTCCATTGCCTTCCCCACTTAGACCAATTTGTGGTTGATTTTTTTAATATGTTGCATTAAAAGTATCTTAACTGAGTTGATATTCTGAAACTTAATTTTTGAGTAAAATTTCTTTCTTCATTAATTTACTTAATACATATCTGTTGGCCTAGTATGTGCAGTATCACAATGAAAAATGAACTGGTGATCAAAAGTGACACCATGACCTTAAAGTTTTTGTCCAAAGCTGGGTGTAAGTGGCTCACTCCTGTAATACTCAGGACTAGAAAAAATAAGGTTTTTGTCCAGAAGTGAGTTTCTAAAGGATGGATGGTTTGTAGAAGGGGGATTGGATAGATAAAAATTACTTGGGGTACCTGGGAATGTGGCTAGGTGGTAAAGTGCATGCCTAGCATGCATGAAACCCTGGGTTCTATTCCTCAGCACCAATAAACATAAAAAGTTGGAAGTGGCACTGTGTGGTTTAAGTGGTAGAGTGCTAGCCCTGAGCAAAAGAAGCTCAGGGACAGTGTCTAGGCCCTGAGTTCAAGCCCCAGAACTGGCACACAAAAAAAGTTTCTTTGGTTGCCTTACTTATATGTAACTTGTATATATCAGGATACCCTATAGCCAATCCAGTAGGTACCTTTATCCTGTCTTTTTTTTTTTTTTTTGTCTCCTATACTTGGGATCAGACTCAGGGACTTCTGCATGCTGAGACAAAAACTCTACCATTGAGCTACATCCCTAGCCCACTTTTATCCTTTTTAATGCTCAAAGTAATTTTCTAATTAAAATGTATTATGGTAAAGCCATAACAAGACACAGAAGATAAAGATTCTTCTTGTGTGCATCAAGTATTTTTCATTTTATTTAACTGGCATGAATAATAACTTCTGGTCCTGCTTTGGGGCACTGCAAAGTGAGGGGTGTGCACTGTCCCATATTTGTGATGATTCTTTCCCTCAGATGTAGCTATTTCGTGAACATGTTTACTTCATCAGCTGTTCATACCTGCCCATGTTACTGCTTTTGAAGCATCACAAATACAATTAGCATCTTTTTTTTTTTTTTTTTTTTTTTGCTTATGTGGTGCTGAGGAATCGAACCCAGGGCCTCAGGCATGCAGGGCAAGCACTCTACCACTGAGCCACCTTCCCAGCCCTACAATTAGCATCTTTTAACTTCAGTGATTTATTTTTACTTCTTTTGGCCAGTCCTAGGGCTTGAACCTAGGTGCTGTCCCTGAGCTTCCTTTGCTCAAGGCTAGCACTCTACTACTTGAGAACCAGAGCCACTTCCAGTCTTTTCTGAGTAGTTCATTGGAGATAAGAGTCTCACAGACTTTCCTGCCCAGGCTGGCTTGGAACCACGATCCTCATATCTCAGCCTCCTGAGTAGCTAAAATTACAGGCATAACCACAGGCCCCCAGTACCTTTTTAAAAGAGTCACCAGCCCAGTGCTGACAGTGTGTGCCTGTAATCCTAGCTACTCAGGAAGCCAAGATCTGAGGATCCCAGTTCAAAGCCAACCCAGATAGCAAAGTCCCTGTGACTCTCATGTCCAAATAACCAGCAAGAAGTTGAAGTGGAGGTGTGTGTGTCTCAAGTGGTAAAATAGCACCCTTGCACAAAAAGTTAATAAAAAATGCATGGCCCTCACTTTCAGCCCAAGTACTGGCACACTAAAAGAGGAAAAAAAGAGTCCCTAAAGAGCTGGCTTGTCCTTATAGTCAGGTAAAGATAAAGATGACTCAAGAACCAAGGAAACAGGCCTTCCCAGACACCTAGTTTGTTCAGATGTCACCCAGCCTATGGTGTTCTGTTAGAGTGGCTTGAGCAAACTAAGAAAATCTCCTTCATCAGACAAATGTCATGTAGCATATGGACTGCAGTCAAGAGGTAACCTCTCATAGCTTCTTTTTATAGAGGTATATTTGCAGGCTCCTATTTACTTTTTTAAAATACCACCTTATATTGCCTATTTTGAAATTATTATGACTTTTCTGGTACTGGGGATTGAATTCAGAGCATTTCAAGATTGACCCCTTGAGCCCCAATGGCATACATACTCACAATAGATAAGGAATGCATTTCTCTTGAATCAGATTCAAATCATTTATTCACTTGATGTCAATGCAGAGTCAAAATTAAATTCCTCCCAAGATAGCCACAACAAGTACCATGATCCACAGTGAGAAAAGAAAGGAGTTATTAGAAGAATGTGTCCAACATTGCGTTATCATTTGGAAGCTTATTTTATCGGTGCTCAGACACAGATCTAGATATGACTCCAAGAGTGTTTACTTACACACCTGTGTGGTCCCAGCTTGTGAAAGAAGTTAATACTTCAATAGAGTCCCATTTGGACTGATTACTGGTCTCCTTTAAGATATAGACAAACATAAGTTTGTGCTAAAATATTTAGATGTTAATCATCATTGCCAAATTTATACTATTCAAATTTACATGATACTTATTATTTGGTGGACAGAATTTCTGTATAATTATTTAAACTGATTATTATTAGAGAAAAGAAGATACACAGACCAGCTGGCTTGGCCAGAATCAAAACTGGCAATATGATTCATACTTCAGCTTATATCCAAGGGAAGTGCCTGCTAAGCACTCTTGGAATTTTTCATCCATTTCTTGGTTCTGAGTTTCACTGAACAATTGTTTCCAGTCACCAATTTCACCTACAATACATGAAACAGAGAATCCAGAGGTCTGTTAGAATAGTTCTTGATTTTAAGATCTACTCTATCAAATTTTATTATTTTGGGAGTACGATGTTTCAAACTAAAACGCAAAAATGGACGTATAAATAAAAAGTTTAAAAAACTAATGTGCAGGGCATCAGTGGCTCACACCTGTAGTCCTAGCTACTCAGGAGGCTTGAGATCATGGTTCAAAGCCAGCCGGGACAGGAAAGTCCATGAGACTCTTATCTCCAATTAACCACCAGAAAACTGGAAATGGCTCTGTGGCTCAAGTGGTAGAGTGTTCACCTTGAGCTGAAGAGCTCAGGGACAGTGCCCAGGCCCAGAGTTCAAGCCCCATGACTCACTCACACACACAAAGGTAATTTTTTATTTGTTTGTAAAATGAATCCTATTTGTGGAGACGTCTTCACTGGTGGAGTGGCAAGTGAATGGAGGAAACAAGACTCAACTTTGATAATTTTCTACCCTCACTGTTCTCAACATCAGGGTTCTCAAAACCCACGTCTTTTTTTGGCTGTACTGGGGATTGAACTCAGGGCCTCTACTTTGCCAGACTAGCACCCTATCAATGGAGCCATGCCTCGTGCTCTCACATTTGCCATTTGTGAAGGATTATTTTCCTCTCTCTAAAGGAAATACTCTGTGAAAAGTTAATACTTGACAATATTGATGAAGATGTCAGATACTGAAAATTTTACAAAATCTAATGATGTAGCTGCGTGCCAGTGGCTCACACCTGTAAGTTATTTGGAGGTCTGATTGGGAATATCATGTTTGAAGCCAGATGAGGCAGAATTTAAAAAAAAAAAAAAAGCCCTTCTCAACGAGAAGCTACAATGGGTAGCATGCATCTATCTTCTTACCTACAGTGCGAAGCCTAATATAGTTAGATTGGGTCCAGGATCATGCCCAGGAAAAAGATGAGACCCTATCTCAAAATTAACCAGCAAAAATCACAGCAGGAGATATGGCTCAGCTATAAGAATAGTTGCCTAGCAAGTCCCAAGGACTTGAATTCAAATTCCAGTACTACCAAAACAATTTTTTTGAAATTATTTTCCCTAACATTAAAAGATATTATTTCTTTATAGTCTTTCAATGATCTGTGTTGCAGAGCCATTGAAATACATGTTGGTAAAGAAGGATAAATAACATGAGAAAATATTTATGACATCTTAAGGAAATGAAATAAAACACCATAAACTCTATGAAGGATTACAGGCTTGAATCACTGCATTGGGCTCACAGTGGACTCTGTGTGTGTTTGTGTGTGTGTATTTGTGTTTGTGTGTGTGTGTGTGTGTGTGTGTGTCTGTCTGTCTGTCTGTTTACCGAGGCTTGAACTCAGAGTCTCATGATCTTGCTTGGCTTTTTCACTCAAGGTTGGTGCTCTACCACTTGAGCCACATCTCTATTTCTAGCTTTTTGCTGGTTAATTGAAGATAGGAGTCTTATGGACTCTGTCCAGGCTGGCTTCAAATCGTGATCCTCAGGGGGAGAATGATGGGAGGGATCACATTAACCAAGCTGCATTGTCTCATAAACTGATGTGTTGGATTGAAAATCTTTTATTACAGCTACTTAAAGATTATTTTAAAAAGTTAAAAAGGAAAGTAGTCTAGCTTGAAATCCTCATTTCCACTGTTTATCATCAATCTGAAATTGGAAAAAGTCATATCCTTGAGCTTTGACTCCTTTCTTTCATTTACAAAATGAAGGCTTTCATGTGCTTTTTGTTTTAAATTTCAATCCCAAGGAAGTATTGAGTGCATATTAAGTGCCTGATGTTAGCTCTTGTCATCTTGCTGTTTCTTGAGCCGCCTTGCAATCTTCTTGTAATATACTTTTGTGATATATGCAATAAAAAAATGAATGTGACAGTTCCTAAGCTATCTAATCAGACATTTCCCTGTGCTTTTCAACTACTTTAATAAAGTTCAATAAAATCATCTGTCTCAGAGAAGCCTAGCTGCTCATCCGACATCCATCTTCTCCTTCTTCTTTATTAACAAGATTCTTATTTCAGCCAGTCCACAATGTGCCCCATTTGAAAAATAAAATCACATTTTCCCAACTGCTGCTGCAGGGAGAGAGGTAGTCTATGAAATGTGAAGAGTCACTGATTAGAGCCTCCAGGAAAGTTCTGGAAAGGGGAATCATTTGGGTAATAACTATATACATGGTTCTTTCCCTTGTTCTCTTCTTCCTATCTACAATTTGTGATGGTGGAGTTCCAGCTGCTATTTTGTCATTATGAAGTGACAAGCAGAAAAGAACAGGGAATTTAGGACAATAAAAGATCCTGAGAGCCAGGTGCTGGTGGCTCACGCCTATAATCCTAGCTACTCAGGAGGCTGAGATCTGAGGATTGCGCTTCAAAGCCAGCCCAGGCAGGAAAGTCCTTGAGACTCTTATCTTCAATAAACCACCAGAAAAGCTGTGGCTCAAGTGGTAGAGTGCTAGCCTTGAGCTGAAGAGCTCAGGGACAGCGCCCAGGCCCAGAGTTCCAGCCCCACAACCAACAACGACAACAACAAAAAAGGTCCTGAGGAGCTGGCAGTTACAGCTCGGGACTGTCTTTTTGACGAAAAAGCTTACCTGGCTTGCCTAGTACGTTCAGGTATATATTATATACTGATATACTCTCCCAGAAACGAAAGCAAGTTTACCTTTGCGGAACAAGAAGGGGCCAATGGCGCCATGCGTTTCCTCAGATTTTTCTCGCATTGCTTGGAAGGTGCTCTGGGCTGAGATAGTTCGAATCTGCTCTCCAGTTAGGGAGAATCCAAAGAATTCAGCAATTTGTTTTACTCCAGTAGCCAGATCCTGAAAACAAAATACCTAAAGGATAAACATCATGCTGGGCACTGGTTGATCCACATCTATAGCCCCAGCGACACAGGAGACTGAGATCTGAGGATTACAGTTTGAAGCCAGCCCAAGGAAGGAAAAGTCTGTGAGATTTTTATCTACCATTAACCACCAAAAAGTTGAAAATGAAAGTGTGGCTCAAGTGGTAGAGTGTCAGCCTTGAGCAAAACAGCTAAGGATAACACCCAGATCCCAAGTTCAAGCCCCAGTACTGTCACACACACACAAAAGGATAAACATCTTTGTATGAGAATTATGCTGGTGCAAAGACAGACTCTTGAGTAGATTTAGTAAGCTTAATTACCTAGTTTACCTGCTTAGCTTTCTCTTCAGACTTACCTTGTGTTTATATAAGTATTTAAGATAGCACTATAACATATTCTGTATTTGTTGCATTTTGTAGCTTCAATTTATAGTTCAATTTATACTATTTAGGTTATAAATAATGATAAGATCATTAGTGAGTTGATTACAATTTCATCTAGGATGATATTCATGTGATAAAAAAGCACCACTCTAGATCACTAGCATATTAATATTTCCGTATACATCCATGCAAATTCTTTTAGATTTAGTTTTACCAAGAAAACCTACTTTTTAGAGTTATAAAACATTGTAGGAATCTTGAAATTTATTGTGTCCAATTATAATCATGATCCACTCAACACCATGTCCAAATAATGGATATACACAAATCACAATGTACATTAGGAATCACCAAAGAAGCTGACTATATAATAACAATTCTTGTGTTTATTTATATAAGCAACCTCCTCTCAATCCTCAAGGGAATAATTATTAACATCTAGGACAACTTTGTATTCTATAGAACATGAGTTTCTAAACTAGAGAGGGGGCAAAGACTAATTTAGAATATTCTCACATATGGGGCTAGGAAGGTGGCTCAGTGGTAGAGTGCTTGCCTTGCATGCCTGAGTCCCTGGGTTCGATTCCTCAGCACCACGTAAGCAAAAAAGAAAAAAGCCAGAAGTGGTGCTGTGGCTCAAGTGGTAGAGCGCTAGCCTTGAGCTGAAGAGCTGAGGGACAGTGCCCAGGCCTAGAGTTCAGGCCCCACGACCGAACCCCACCCCCAAAAAAAGAATATTCTCACATATTACGAAAAGCATCCTATAAACAGAAAGGATGCAATCAATTGCTATTGCCTATAATAAGAACGTCACCAGAAGCTGGTGATGACCACTCATTAGGGTGTATTTGATACTCCCTGCTCTTCACTGGGGATCCAGGATTCTTGATTCATTCTGACCTCACTAATCACTTCTTCTCAGTCTCCTTTGCTGATTTTTCCCCTTCTCAAACTCTTAATATCGGAGAGCTCCCTGGCCTAATCGTTAGCCATCTTCTCTTCTCTATCTATGTAGATATTGATATGTGTAATCTTATGGTTTCCATTGCATGTATGTGTCAAAGAGTTCATGGTTTTATTTTCAGCTTATAACTCTCTGTATTTGTAGAATTTATACTTGATCTTTTCATTAAGTTGATTAACAAGCATTTTAATGAATTCAAAGCCAAACTCCCATTTCCCACCAAATTCCAAAGCTTCCCTAAAATCCTCTTCTACCCAGCTGATGGCAAATCAACCTCAGCTGGTCAGACCAATAATACTGCAGTCTTATTTGACTTCTCTCTTTCTCCCACACAACTTCCCTCCTTCCAGCCTAGTAGTGAGTCCTATTGGCTCACCCAGAATCCAACCAGATTCCCACCACTTCTCATTCTCTGTGCAACCCCTTTGAGGCTGAGCAAACATCTTTCCTCACCTGCATCCTCAGTCACCTGTTCACAGGTCTCCTGCATTACCTTTGTCCCAGTCCATCCTTACTCTCCAGCCAGAATGATCTTGTCAAGAAAGCATCAGCTCTGATCACTCCTTTCTCAACTACCACTATGGCTTCCCATTTTACTTAGAGTAAAAGCCAGAGTCACTTCAATGGCCATTTGGTTCCTTACATTCCATCACATTGCTTTTTCTGTCCTTATTGCTCTTCTTTCTTGCCTTAGTTCTATTGGCCTGGACACACCAGGCCTACTGACCTTATCACAGCTGCCTTTACCTAGGGCTTTGCTTCAACTGGTTTCATCTGCCTGGCCTGCTCTCCCCAGCTACCTATTTGCCTCACTCCCTTTAGGTTTGTGCTCCAATCATATTCCCTTAATGGAAAGGCCCCTATCCACCCTATTTTAAAATGAGATTTCCTCCAGCACTCTAATCCACCATCCCCTGGCATTTCCAACTTTTAACCAGCTATTTCTTTTTCTCACTTACTCTGTGTATTTTTGCATTTTGTTTCTTATTCTATCTACTTGCCATCTCCAAGCTAGAATGTAAACTTCTCTGGGGCAGCAAAATTCACCTCATTTGTTCATTACTGCATCACCTATGCAGGCCTAAACCACAGTAATCAGTAAACTCTGAACAATCATTCTCTCTATGTTTGCTAAGTAAATAAACATTCTTTTGAAAAATACATTAAGAGGAAAAATCAATTCACAATCTAATGTATGTTTGATTAAATTAACTGAGAATACCTATTTTTCTACTCATCATACAAGCAAAATAAAACAATTAACTTATTAAACATTGTTTGGTCATCAAGTAAACAACCTTAGCAGCTATGCATGGTTGAACTTCTTTTTCTAGTACGGTATTACATATCTGGAATTTAAGAACTTGAAAACCATACTTGTTCATACAACCAGACATAAGTGCACTACATATGTTATTATTTATAAAGTATTGTTCCCGAATGTCAGTAATTATAATCTCACCTCTTTCAGGTCTTCATATAATACGAACTTAACATTGTCATCATCAAGGTGCTTATTCCAATTAATTGCAAAATCAAAATAGCTTCCCCAAGAAACTAAAACATGGGGAAAAGACATTATAAGTAATTTTACATAAATGAAGTAAAGTTAATATATACTGTAGAATATAACTATATATATGTATATAGGTATAAACAAGGTATATTTGTAATTTATTACAAATCTCTCCCAAAGAGGCAGCAAAATCCAGTCCTATAGTTCAATTTCTACCCATTTTCTTTCTTCTTTTTCTTTCTTTCTTTTTTTTTTTTTTTGTCAGTCTTGGGGCTAGAACTCAGGGCCCGGCCACTGTCCCTGAGCTTCTTTTGCTCAAGTCTAGCACTCTACCACTTGAGCCACAGTACCACCTCTGGCCTTTTCCATTTATGTGATACTGAGGAATTAAACCCAGGGCTTCATGTATGCTAGACAAGCACTCTACCACTAAGCCACATTCCTAGCCCCTCTATCAATTTTCACTGAAAAAAAAAAACCCATAGCTGAGAAAGTTGTGAAAATGAGTTAGTAAAAGCCACCAGGCATTCATGAAAGTGAAGACTGATTCAGAAATAGTGCATGATGTGATACAGAAAAACTGGCAGGAAGAAGGACACATAAGAAAGACATTATCTGGATTAAAAACCACATATTTGATTTTTTTAAAAGAAACAGGTAAAATTAATGCTTTACTTTAACCTAGTATGCCCTCAAATATTATCATTTATAATATAATCAACATGATAAATTATTAGCAAAATATCACATATTATTTTTATATTCTGAGTTATCAAAAGCTGGTGGATATTTTACATATACACAGATCTATATACAGATCCATACTCTGGATGTTTAAATTTTTGCTGAAAATACTTGATGTGCATTTTAAAGGTCATAAAACTTACCATAGTAACAATGAAGCATATTCACACAACCCAGTTTATTAAACATTTAACTAAAAGCTTTCCAATAACTAAAATTATCCATTTTTAACTTAAATTTCAATGAACTAAAGTGAATGAAACTAAAAATTTAGCTCCTTAGTTACACTACATTTATTTCAAGTCCAGAGAGAGCAAATCGGGCAGTAAGTGATTTGACCTGGGTTTGTGTCTACTCTTCATAGCTGGGTGACTTTTCTATGTCTCTATTTCCTTCATTCTGAAATTAGGATAAAAAACTTTCACCCTACAGAGTTATGAGAATGAAAATTAAACACTGGGAGCTGGGCACTGGTGGCTCACACCTGTAATCAGGAGACTGAGATCTGAGGATGATGGTCTAAAGCCAGCTTGGGCAGAAAAGTTCATGAGATACTTATCTTCAATTAAGCAGAAAAAAAAAAAAACTGGAAGTGGAGCTGTGCCTCAAGTGGTAAAGTGCCAGGCCTCAGCCAAAAAGCTAAGGGATAGTCTAAGTCCTGTGTTCAAACTTTAGTAGACTTACAAAATTACAGTTATTATGGCTCGGGGTGTGGCTCAAGTGGTAGAACCCTAGCCTAGCAAGCAGGAATCCCTAATTTCAAACCCCATTAGCACCAAAATGAATAAAAAAGAAAGAAAGAAAACATTTAAAATGATAGCTATAGCTGGTACTGATGACTCATGCCTGTAATCCTAGCTACTCAAGAGGCTGAGATCTGAGGATCATGGCTCTGAGTCAGCCCAGGCAAAAGAGTCCATGAGACTTAGCTCCAATTAGCCACCCAAAAGCCAGAAATGGAGCTGTGGCTCAAGTTGTACAGCATCAGCCTTGAGCTAAAAATTCAAGTGAGAGCCTTGTTGTGTGAATATGCTTCATTGTTTCAAGGCTCTGAATCCAAATCCTAGTTCTGGTACACACAAACAAATACAGTTATTAAAAAAAAAACAAAAAAAAAAAAACAGAGGTTGAAGCATTCGAATGCTTTAATAAAAAAATCCTTCCTGGGGCTGGGAAGGTGGATCAGTGGTAGAGCTCTTGCCTTGCATGCCTGAGGCCCTGGGTTCGATTCCTCAGCACCACATAAGCAAAAAGAAAAAAGCCGGAAGTGGTGCTGTGGCTCAAGTGGTAGAGTGCTAGCCTTGAGCTGAAGAGCTGAGGGACAGTGCCCAGGCCCAGAGTTCAGGCCCCACAACGGGACCCCCCCCCCCGAAAAAAAAATCCTTCCTTGCAAGCAAATATCTTGGGGATAATGTTCAGCACCATTAACAAAATTCTTTCTTCTTTTTTTTTAGTCATTGTGTAATACAGTGGTTTAGGGAAAGTCGCTGGAAGTACTTTCCTACACACCTCTTCTAAAGATCTCTGTGTCACCTCTGTTTTTTTGTTTTTTTGGTGGTAGGGCTTGAACTCTGGGCCTGGGCACTGTCCCTGTGCTCTTCAGCTCTAGGCAAGCACTCTACCACTTGAACCACTGCAACACTTCCAGTTTTCTGGTGGTTAATTGGAGATAAGGGTGTCACAGACTTTCCTTCTCCAGGGCTGACTTTGAACTGCGATCCTCAGATCTCAGCCTCCTGAGTAGCTAGGATTACTGCCGTGAGCCACAGGCCACCGGCTCCCACCTCTGTTTTATGGCCACTCAACACTCATCAACAAGGAGTTGTCCAGTTTACTTTTGAAATCAGTCATAGGTTTTAATTGTTTGATACACAGAGCTAGGGATGCTATAAAACTTCACTTAAATGTAACTTCTTGCTTCCCAGAGCTGCTTAAATCTTAGTTCTCTCTTTGCCCCAAAGCCCATTTTAATGTCCATATTTATGTGTTCATCTGTTGAAGTAAAAAGAATTCTTTTTCTAGCATCTGACCTTCTCCCTTCATGAACTGTCTGAAGAATTCAGCCCAGGAGGCATAGGTTGGGATATCCGGGACATCGTGGTGGAAATGGAAAAACGATACAGCTGTGTCCTTGGGGTTTCGAAATATCACCAGTATCTACAAAAACAACAACAAAAGCAAAGAGAAACCAAGAAGAACCAAAATACTACAGTCAGAAACTGAGGGCACTAGGCAAGACATTAGCTAATTTGTGAGAATTCTGAAGATTGTGAGACAGCACAGAACAAGTCAGAGAATGAAATATAGGTAGGACTCATTTTACTTTCAGAAAAGGGGAAGATGGGTTTAGCAAAGTTCAGATTTGTCATCCTGAAGTTTCCGCATTTGACTACCTTTGAGACGAGGTAAGGAGGAAACAGTAACCAGCAGGGGGCAATGTGGGTCCTTTGTGATCAAGTAACTGGCCTCAGGATATTTTTTTCTTTCTTTTGGACCTGCTTTCCAGATTGGAAGACCAAATTGCTTTTGATTTCTTGTAAGAATGGAAGACTGCAAGCGGATGCAAGAGTAATTAGACATTTAAAACTAATTGGGTACTCGATGCACTCAACAGTAAGTAATTAATTAATGTAATCCTACCTGGAGGATGCACTCAACAGTAAGTAATTAATTAATGTAACCCAGTCTGGAGGTTTTTAATCTCCGGGGACCACTGCTGACAACTTAATGAGGGATAGAGGTAATAATACAGAGTTGTGTGTGTATGCACGCATCAGTCCTGGGGCTTGAACTAAGGGCCTGGGCATGTCCTTGAGCTTTTTTTTTTTTCCTCAAGGCCAGTAATCTACCATTTGAACCACAGCAATTCCACTCCTGCCATATTTGCTGGTTAATTAGATAAGAGTATCATGGACTTTATTGCCAAGCCTGGCATTGAACCACAATCCCCAGATCTTAACATCCTGAGTAGCTAGGATAACAGGCATGAGCCACTGGTGCTCAACCAGAGCCATTTTTTTTTTTGGGGGGGGGGGGGTGGGTCCGGTTGTGAGGCCTAAACTCTGGGCCTGGTCGCTGTCCTTCAGCTCTTCAGCTCAAGGCTAGCGCTCTACCACTTGAGCCACAGCGCCACTTCCGGCTTTTTTCTTTTTGCTTATGTGGTGCTGAGGAATCGAACCCAGGGCCTCATGCATGCAAGGTAAGCACTCTACCACTGAGCCACCTTCCCAGACCCAGCCAGAGCCATTTTTAAGAAAAATCATTTTAGTAGACAACATGCGATCAAGAGGAAATAGGATACCCAAATATCTTGTGAGTCTAAGGAAGCAAACTGGAGTCATGGTTCAGGGAAGCAAACTGGAGTCATAGTTCAAGTAATAGAGCATCTGGCCTAGCTAGAGAGGAAGAGGAAGGCCCTGAGTTCAAACTCCAGCACCGAAAATAAAAGGAAGGAAGGAGGGAGGAATAGAGGGAGGGAGGGAGGGAGAGAGAGATAGGAAATGAAAACGTTAATAGGATAAAGTTGAATAGAGAAAAATGGGTCAGCATCTTTCTTAACTTGGGCTCTAGCCCCCTCCCCCCAACAGCCATACAGTATATAGATTCTTGTAATTCAAGTTTTGTATTTGAAGCTTTAACTAGTACTCTGAGTTGCGCTGACTCACATCAGTTTAAATTGTGAGTGTGAATTAACTAGAGCGAGTGAGTTCAAATTCTCAGCATCCACTTCGGTTGCTCTTTTCTTGCTCTGTATTCTTCTGAAAGAAGACCCCTGCACACCTGTACAAAAGCTTGCATACCCCACATATAAATGCTTTATAAGTTACCTCAGCTGTTTCTGTTAGCTTCACTGAGGGGGGAAAAAGGCACATGATAATGATGCGAATGCGTTTAAAAATAGAAAGTTATAGATTAGAACTTTTTCTTTTTTTCTTTCCTTTTTTTTTTTTTTTTTTACAATTTTGTAGATCCTCACTATAAGAAAAAATTGTTTAACAGAACTGTCCAAAGCTGGCTTAGGGGACAGAAAAGTTCTTTTATAATTGGAGGTATTCAGTCTTTCTCCAATCACTTAGTGGAATTTAAACATAAAGTCAGGAACTCTAGCAGGCAATCTCTGTGACAGTTCCTAAGTCTAAGCACGTGTGTGTGTGTGTGTGTGTGTGTGTGTGTGTGTGTGTGTGTGTGTGTGTGTGTGTGTGTGTGTGTGTGTGTGTGTGTGTGTGTGTGTGTGTGTGTGTGTGTGTGTGTGTGTGTGTGTGTGTGTGTGTGTGTGTGTGTGTGTGTGTGTGTGTGTGTGTGTGTGTGTGTGTGTGTGTGTGTGTGTTCTGGGTCTGGGGCTTGAACTCAGGGTCTATCTAAGCATTGTCCCTGAGCTTCTTTTTGCTCAAGGTTAGCACTCTATTACTTGAACCACAGCTCCACTTGCAGCTTTTTTGGCAGTTTAGTGGAGATAAGAGTCTCACAGACTTTCCTGCCTGGGCTGGCTTTGAATCATGATCCTCGGATCTCAGTCTCATGAATAGCTGGCATTATAGGTATGAGCCACCCGTGCCAGGCTTATAAGCACCTATAATTCTTTTTTAAAAAATATTATAAAAATATTATAAAGGGACTGGGAAGGTGGCTCAGTGGTAGAGTGCTTGCCTTACATACATGAGGCCCTGGGTTTGATTCCTTAGCACCACATAAGCAGAAAAAGCCAGAAGTGGCACTGTAGTAGTAGAACGCTAGCCTTCAGCTAAAGAGCTCAGGGACAGCGCCCAGGCCCAGAGTTCAGTTCCCACAACCGACAAATAAAATAAACAAAATAAAGGTGTTATCAGAGGGGCTGCAGTTACATAAGACAAGTAAAAAGTACATTTCTTTTTGGACAGTGTCACCCCTTCCCTTGCTCTCTGCACCTGTGATTCTCATACCACAGCCATGAGGCTATTAGGAAGTCACTACTTCCCTGATGTTTTCCTTCCTACCCTTTGCCTCTCTCCAGAGTTCCTCCTACTGCTTACCATGACATTCACTATTTCCTTCTTTTTCCTTCCTATGCTATGACTTCAGCTTTCTCCCAATCTTCTTTGTGGGTTTCAAAAGTTTAAATCTTGGAAGTGCCCAACTTTAAATTTTGATGTTAACTCATTCTAAACTTTTCCATGTGAGACAGAGAAAAGAGGGACCAAAAATAAGGAATGGAGTTACAGATAGAAGGTTGAGAAAAAGCATTCATAATAAGAAATATATCAATACTTATTAATGAAACAATATTTCAAATCAAATGATAACACTACCCGATGCATGGATAGTTCTCTATGAATGACATAAATTTTGTAATTATATGTCAAATTTGGAAAGAAATCATTTTGGATCTCAGAAAAGAGCCAAATGAAAATCATAACTCACCTTACTAGTCTGTATTCTTATGTTACAAACTCTAAATATCCTAGTGTAATTCTAAAGTTGATAAATTTTAAAATGCTGTGTTTCCTTTTTGCATATGAACTGAAATACATTTGGCTTGAATATAATCATAGCAAATATATCTGAAGAAAGAAAGATAAAAAACCTCTCACATTTCATTTATTAAAATTCTACAATGAGGAGCTAACTCATCAGATACTTCAAAGAATCAAGAACAGGGGGACTGGCTATAGTTCAGAATTAGTGTACTAGTCTACCACCATGTAAGGCCCTGGGTTTGATCCCCAGCACCTCAAGGAAAAAAATTAAAGGAATCATTATATATGAAAACTCCAAATTCAGGGCTGGAAGTATGGTTCAAGTGGTAAAACACTTGCCTAGAAATTCAGATGTCAGTAGAAAGGACACTTACCTTTGCTTTGTGCTTAAAGATTGACCCAGGTAATTTGTCGTAATGGAGGTGAGTTGTCAAAATCCTTGGTGATGGAAACAGTTTCATTCTCTTAAAAAATATGCAAACATACTATCACCATTTCCATCATTCTTCATCCACATCCATCCCTCCCAACCCCACCCATCTCCTCAAGTTACCTGGGTCTATTTTCACATATGTACAGGAGTATTATGACTACATTCTCCCTCCAGGCCTCTGTATTTGTCAACATGCATTGTACTCATAAATTTACAGGTAGAACTGAAAGCCCTTTGCACAATGAATTAAAGGTAATAAAATAAAATGATTTTTAAAAAGGCATGAAAAATGATATTAAACAAAAAAGAACAAAACCAGAGAGGTTCCCAGAGGGCACAAACTTCAAACTGAGGTGTGAGGCTTCTGGCATGGAACCAACACTGCCCGTGTTCATGACTCCATCACACAAGAGAATTTTAGGATGAGTCTGCTTAGGTGGGAACCTTATGGATGTTTTATATTAGCAAAGCAGGAAAACAAAGTGTGTGCCAATAGGCTAGATGTGTGGTCCTCAGAGAAGCACACCACGTTCTCTGTGTAAGAGTGACTGGTAAAGCTCAAGTCCATGGATGGTGTCTAACTCTCCTCCAGATGGGCAGATTCTTTATATTGGACACTTAGCACTGCTCAAATCATTTTGCTCCTATAGAATGTTGTTACCCAAGCAAAAAGATAGCTTGAAGTGATCTTAGTCATTAATTAAACTGTCTTTATGCATACATACACACAATAGGATGAAATTGTGTGTGTGTGTGTGTGTGTGTGTGTGTGTGTGTGTGTGTGTGTAATCTCCTCTGATCTAAAAGGCAGCTTCAAGTACTACTAACTCTGCTTTGTCTGCTCCTACCCTCCTCCAATTCCTATGGATGAAGAAGGAAGAACCTTAAGCAAAAATATCATTACAAGCTTCTGTTGAACTTTTTTTTCACTTGACTGACATTTTCTGACACTGATATCAAGACCACTTTGTTCAAGACTATTCAGAATCTGCAATTCACTGTTTCACTTAATTGGATTTATTTCTTCTACAGTCAAGATCTTTTTTTAATGGAAATATTCAAGTTTGCCCAAGCTCCTGAAAATTTACTTTCAACATTTAGTTCTGTCTTTTCCTGTTATCTAAATTCCATGTAATCAAATATCACAGCCAAATCCAAAAGTCTACAGTCATTTAAATAGCTGAGAATTGTTTTACAAAACTCTTGTTGAGGACTGTGAAGTGATTCTTTTTCTATTACCTATTTTTACTGATGATTTTTAAAATGAAGTTTTCTTTTGAACCTGCCAGGGTGAAGAGTTTAGTTAAAAATCTGTCTAGCCAGGTACTTGTGGTTCATGCCTATAATCCTAGCTACTCAGGAATCTGAGGTCTGAGGACCAAAGTTTGAAGCCAGCTCTGGACAGAAAGTTCATGAGACTTTTATCTTCAATTAACATCCCCCCCAACCCCCGCCAAGGGAGGAAAAAAAACCAGAATGGAGTTGTGTCTGAAGTGGTAGAGTGCCATCCTTGAGTGAAAAACCTAAGGGACACTGCCCAAGCCCTGAAGCCCTAGTATTAGCACATACATGAAAGAAAGAAAGAATGAATGAATGAGTGAATGAAATCCATCTATTAGAATATGGAGAACAAGGCTTCAGCTTTCTCAGTTTCACATTTGTGGAACTATTTAGCCATGCCACAGTATAACTATTCACATCAAGTAAAATAGACATTTACAGCCAATTGTTCTATAAAAATTTAGTGGCAGGTTGGTGCCCAGTGGCTCATGCATATAATCCTTACTACTCAGGAGGCTGAGATCTGAGGAATGCAGTTCAAAGCTGGCCTGAGCAGGAAAGTCCGTGAGACTCTTATCTCCAATTAAAAATTAGCAAAGAAGTCCAAATTACAGCTATAGCTCAAGTAGTAGAACACTAGCAAACAAAGCTCAGAGATAATGCCCAGGCTGTTAGACCTGGACTAGTACAAAAAAAAGAAAAAAGAAACAAGATAGTGGACATCGCAACTCAAGCACAGGTGTAAAAATATAATAATAATAATGAAAAAATGGACTGGAGGCATGGCCCAAGTGGTAGAACAACAACTTATACCAACGGTATGAGCCCAAGTGGGGATTAATACGTAGTGACAATCACCCGATGTTAAGTCAAAGTTTGCTCTTTGGTATTTGAAGTACTTCTACATTCATTTACAATAATCCTTTCCAGATATTAGAACCCCCATTTTAGAGATTAAGAACTGGCTCTGAGGTTTTGAATGCTTTGTGGAAAATCACATAGGTAGTAATTTTCAGATTAAGTTCTAGCTGGCTGTTGCCACTAAACTACAGGGTCCCACAACACATAACAACACACGAGGAATGCTGAAGTTACCAGGAGTCGGGCCCTATCCAAGGGGAAACTGAAGTTATCTCCCTCAAACCTAGATGAAACTTAAGTGTATCATTTTAGAACTTTCCCTAGGGAAAGGTCATAGAAAAGTCTGGATAGGAGAAGCCACTGAGGTGTTTCATTGGTTCCCCCATTTCTTACCTGAGAGCCCTTCCTGCCTGCCCGGTCCCTCACCTTGCACTGACTGAGCCTCACTGTCCAGGCTGAGCACAGGTGACCCTACCATGCCTGAGCCCCTGATGCGGCTGCTCAGCCCTTTGGGGTTCCTTGGTTGCCAGACTGGGCCAGGATTCAGCCCCAAACTCCTGACTGCCCACCTCCTGCACAATGGAATCTTCTTCTGCTTTTACCCAAATCCTAGAAATAGGTTTCTGTCAACTTAGGTTCCAATGTTTATATTTGTACTGATTATCACACTAAGTATCTCAGTCACTTTCCATCAAGCTGGTTCCTAAATCCCAGGCGGGTGGTTTTCTTCATAATAACAGTTTCCTCTGCATGTTGGAAGACTCTTGTGGTGGATGATTTTGAAAGTTTTACGTAGGTGGGGATTCTTCTTCCATTTAGCCTACTTTTGTACTCTGATGTATGTAGAGATGTAGAATGGAGGCCTTGTCCCTCTTTTTCTGTCTAAGAACTAGGTCCTGAAACAGATCCTTCCTCTAACCCCTTTCCTGTCTTTCCTGCCTTCTGAGGGACAGTTTGTTTCTCTCACCCAAATTTCAGTTGGCTCTGTTGGAAAGGCAAGTAATAACCGTGATAAGTGAGAAATAACACGTAGAAGAAGCTGTTGAACCCTTCAACACAAACCAGTGACTTACTCTCCTAGCTGCTACTTGGCCTTTCCCATCCCTCTCACACATTCTGACTCATAACTGAGACAAAGAAATGAAAACTAACGTCCCACTTTGTTGAAAATGAACTATTCAACTTGTGCATAGGGTTGGGAGGGAAAAACTGGGAAAAAAGCAATGGAAAGGGTGACATTGTTGAAAAAGAAATGTACTTTTTATCTGACTTATGGAACTGTAACCCTTCTGTACATCATCTTTATAGTAACAATAAAAAATAATGTCCACTTAGAAGACTGGAGAACCCTTCTCACTTCTTGCTCATGTCCATGTCTTCAGAGAGAAAGCTTGACTTTATTTTAGGAAAAATGAACATGGTCATACAGTGTAGTCATTAGGAACTCAGACCAGAAGACTGGGGTACATATTTTGGCTCTATTTTTATTCTTCCATTGTTTCAGGCAAGTCTTTAGCAGTTCTGCTTTTTGAGAGATGGTGATATGGTTATTCTGTGGTAAAATGAGATAATACCTGGAAAGTACTGACGAGACATGGAAAGCATAGAGCAAATAGCAGCTATTTGTATAATAGCTGAACTCTAAATTTCGTATGAATGTAAATTAGTATAATAGTTGAACACTAAAGAAATCTTGACATATAATTTGCCCTCCAGTTAGCACAGGTTCTTAGAAAGGGCTTCTGCTAAAAACCACTGACTCCCCATTGGGGCAGGTAAATGTCCAAAGGGTCAGTAGAAGCAGTGTAAAAGCTGGCATGTCTGTCTGTTTGTAGCTGGGTCCTTGGCCCTGAGCCATTCTCTCCTGCAGTCACTTTGCAGACACCTTGGAATCCAGGAGGGACAGGACGGATGGATCTGCGGCCTGTGACAGGAGGTGCAACTGCTCCCTCCTGTCAGGCAACAATGTCCTTCTTATTGTGACAAGGCCCCACCTGCACATCCCTGCCCCACGCCTGTGAGCAGGGGCGCTCAATCATTATGTAGACCTTCTGCTCCTTCCCTCTTTTTTTTTCCTATTTAAACCTAAAACTCATGTCTGTACCCCAGAATAGATGGGCTGGAGTGCTTACTGTGCCTTTTCCTGTGGGGTGTTTGTGTGCTGTTAATAAATCTGTCTCTGTCCCTCATCACTACTTGTCTCTTTACTTAGCATATGCATGTAAATGGCTGCACCTGATGTGCAAATCCTAGCATTGAGCTTTTTTTTTTTTGGGTCCAGTCATGGGGCCTGAACTCTGGGCCTGGGCGATGTCCTTCAGCTCTTCAGCTCAAGGCTAGCGCTCTACCACTTGAGCCACAGCGCCACTTCTGGGTTTTTTTTTCTGCTTATGTGATGCTGAGGAATCGAACCCAGGGCCTCAAGCATGCAAGGCAAGTACTCTACCACTGAGCCACCTTCCCAGCCCGCGTTGAGCTTTTGCCTAGAATTCTGGTTGCAACTCTAAAGCCCCTTGGACTAACCTGATATTTTTCTGAGTCCCCACATTCAAGAACTGGGAATTCTGAAAATTCACACTTTCTTTTAGCAAAAGCAAATACTAATTCACTGACAATATGGAGAATCCAATTTGAACCTACAAGTAGAAAATAAAAGCTCATTAAGAAGTCTTGATATAATAAAAAATGTGTTTTAGCATATACAAGATAAAAATTGCAATCTGTGAACAATCTTTGATGTGTACAGGTAATGCTTCTGTGTTTGAAATGACCTGAGCTATCAAAAGAAAATGGTAGGGAAAAAATACATTTACTTACATTCATATCAAATTGGAACTATTCTGAAACCCAAATTTCTTACTTCTCAGGCATCTCCTTTGCTGATTGGTTGGTTGCTTGGTTTTTTGAGACAGGGTCTCACTTGGTAGCCTAGGCTGTCCTCAAACTCACAATCCTCTTGCTTTAGCCTCCTGAATGCTGGGATTGTAAGTGTGTACTATCACACCTGGATCAGACCTCTCCTTTCCCTAGAGACAATACATCATTTTGACTCTGGAATGTCTTCCTTACAGTAAATGTTATGCTATCGAAATCACTGCTATATCTCATATTTTTTTACATTAGTGAATATAGAATTTTGATTTGATTAAAAACCTAGCATTAACAGAAAAAAAATTCCAAGCATTGGAGACTCACTCCCTCACTCAGCTACTCAGGAGGCTGAGATCTGAGGATCATAGTTCAAGGCTAGACTGGAAACAAAAGTTTCCAGATGAGACTCTCATCTCTAATTAACCAGCAAAAAGCCAGAAGTAGAGGTGTGGCTCAAGAGGTAGAGCAAGGCTTTTTTTTTTTTTTGGTCATAGGGCTTGAACTCTAGGTCCAGGCGCTTGGCCTAGGCACTGCCCCTCAGCTCTTCAGCTCAAGGCTAGCTCTCTACCACTTAAGCAACAGTGCCACTTCCAGCTTTTTCTGCTTATGTGGTGCTGAGGAAGCAAACCCAGGGCTTCATGCATGTGAGGCAAGCTCTCTACCACTAAACCACCTTCCCAGTGCCAGGAATAGTCTTGAACAAAAACAACCAAGTAGGATCTTGAGGCCCCAAGTTAGAGCCACAGTACTGGCATCATATTTAAAAACAAACAAAACACATCAAGATTGCCAGCTACCCATGGCTCACGCCTGTAATCCGGGCTACTCAGGAGGCTAAGATCAGAGAGTCTCAAAGCCAGTTCAAAGCCAGCCTGGGCAGGAAAGTCCATGAGACTCTTATCTCCAATTAACCACTCAGAAAACCGGGAGTGGCGCTGTAGCTGTAGTGGTAGAACGCTAGCCTTGAGCTGCAGAGTTGAAGGACAGTGCCCAGGCTGTTCAAACCCCACAACCGACAACCCCCCCAAATCAAGATGAAAATGTCTACTAATATTTCCCACCTCCATGTTTTGTCTTTCCACCTCCCTCCATCACTCATCATGCATCACACCCTTTCTGCCCAGACTTTTTCTTCCCTCAGATCCTGGGCTAGCAACTCTATATTTTTTTAAATTTGCACCATAGATACACAACCATCCTGGCATCCCTCCTCAGTGATTTCCAACTAGCTTCATGCAGCAATGAACCGTCTTCTTCCTATTCCCAGCCCCTTCCCAACTTACTATAAAAAGTGTACTTGTAAAAAAAAAAGTGCACTTGCAGGAACTGATTGTTACTCACCGCACTTTGGGTAAGATGCTAGCACGATGTCATCGCTTCTGGCTTCAAAGGTTTCCAGGGCTTGGAACGTTTCTGGGGTGCACATGGTAACTGGGTAGGGAATCCCCTGATAGGTGAAAAATAAGTGAGAAAGTGTAGTTTCTTTTGATTTTTCTAAAGCATCATCGATGTACTCAATAAATTTGGATTTATCAGCCATTGCTAACTCCTGGCTAATGAACCCGCTCTGTGGGTGTCCGGGTGCAATGGTTGATTTTTAAAGGAGTTGTTCACAGAAGCTACAATAAAGGCTCCCCTCACTCCCCTAGAAAAGAAATCCCTTCCCTTCCCCCCATTTTTGCATATTGTTCTCTGCCAGAAAATAAACCACAGGTGCAGAGCTCAGTCCCAACTCAGGGATTACTACTCCAGGGGTTGATTACATTACCACTGAAGCAGTCCACCTAATGAAAGTAAGAATGAAATCAAATAGAAGATTAATAGACACTAAATATCTCACAAATAGGTACTTGATGCAGGCATAGAATTGTCCTGTGAACAATGCACAGAATGACACTTCATTTTCTTTGGCTGGCATCTCTGCATGCACAGTCTATACTGTGAGAGAGGGAAATAGGAGGGAAGGGGCAGTCACAAGGTCATGTAGTGAAGTGGCAAAGGGCTCAGATTTGGGGGTAATCCTGAACATCTGGCTCAGATCTGACATTTACTGGCTAAATAGATTTAGAAGTCCTTTACCTAAGTGACAGTCAAGCTGTGTGGCTCGCAAAAGGGGGTTAATTGTGAAGAGAAACTCAGTGCAGTGGTGTACCCAGCCCTCTGGGTACGGCTCCCTGCTGCCCACATACTCTAGCATGAGATGTTCACTCTTCTCAGTCTAACCAGAAGCCTCTCTCTCTTTTCTCCTTTGGATAAATGAGCCTAAAAGTCCTGCCTCCCTTGCAGCTAGGTGTGGCATTGGAGCTTCGAAGAAGTGAGCCTAAGTGATGTGTCCAACTTTGGGGGTCTTAAGAGAGGACATTGATTGTTTTCTACCTCTCTATCCCTGTCCCATGTTATTCAAGCCTGACTTGTTAGTCTGAAGGAAAACAGCATTCCAGAGGATGGCAGGCCAAGATTGGGGAAACCTGACTACTGGACAGCCTCTGTAAGGGAAGGCAACCCACCTTCCAGGACCTGGCCTAAAGCAATCCTCCAGAACCATGCTCGAAAGAACACAATTGTCTCTGCTTTAAGTCTTGCTTAACTGCTGAGTTGCTGAATCTCTTGGTTACAGCACTGTAATCTGTCTAGTACAATTTTGGGATCTGTGGCTCAAGTGGTAGAGCACTAGCCTTGAGCAAAATGAAGCTCAGGGACAATGCCCATGTCCTGAGTTCACACCCCAGGACTGGCATATATATATGCATGCATGCATGCATTGGACACTTTTTATTATTTCTTTTCCATTCTCTTCTCCATATCATTTGCCTTTCATTTACTCCCTAACCACACAAATATAAGTTTTAACCGTATTTACCTATGGCAGTTAAAAAGTTAACCCTACCTACGCACAGCTGTCCAGCTATCCAGGACAGCTATTCATCACTGAATTGGAATCGTTAATATTATTGAGCACTTGCATGTATCACACCCTCTGCCCTGCTGCTAAGATTACACAAACGATTTAATGTAACTTTATAACAGACTTATGAAATGTGTGTTATAGTGGATTGAAGTTTACAAAGTCAAAGTAACTACAGTTACAGCCCTTGGGGGACCTAGAATTGTAATGTCCCAGGCAAACTCAGACCAGGCAAGTACCTATGACCTGAGAGGTCTTAGGTTTAGTTGGGAGATCATAGGTTTTGTTGGAAGTATCGGTGTGTTCTTTGCTCCTTTTCTTTCCTTTCCTCATTCCTCTTTCCTCTTTCCCTTCCTTCCCGTCTCTTCCCCTCCCTCTTCTGTTCTCCTCCTCCTCCCTCTTTGTATCTGTCTGTCTGTCTCTCTCAGGTGCTGGTACTAAGGCTTGAATTCAGGGCCTCACACTCTCCTCATACTCTTGCTTAGCTTTTTCCACTCAAGGTTGGTGCTCTGCCATTTGAACCGCACCTCCACTTCTGGCGTTTTTGCTGACTAACTGGAGACAAGAGTCTCCTTGGGCTTGCTATGTTTTCATACTATTAGTCCTATATTAGCCTACCAAAAACAGAAAGTAGCTTATTGAGGGGCTCAAGTGATAGAACTTTTGCCATTTTCTTGGCATGTTCATTGGTCCTGGGTTCTGTCTCCAACACTACAGAAAAGAGAAAAAGGGGTTGGGGAAGAGAGGCAGGTAGTGGGTGTGGGAGGGCAACTTTTAATTTCCATGTTATAGAAACTGACAAGAGAGGATTCCTAGCCAGGAACAAGTATCTGAATTTGGTTGTGTTTGTACTTTTTTTTTTTTTTTTTTTAGAAAAATCAGAAGGTAAAATCAGAATAGCTAGTATCTTAGTATATTTATATTTTCATACACCCCCTTCCACTTTAAGGCCTATGACCTTACATAACTGTGGGATGATATTCACTGTGGCTGGGAAGGTATAGCTAAAAATCTCCCTCTTAAAAAAACGCAAAGAGGAAGAGAACTGGACTCTCTGGCAGGCTGCTAAGTGGATAATCCAGCTCACCACAAAGACTCTTTGCCTTCCCAGGGCAGGCTAGAATTTAAGACACTGATTCAAAGCCCATTGCTTTGTTTGCTTGTTTCTTGGTGGAGAAAACATTTCAAAAGACAATGGTCTGGAATCTGCTCTGACACTAATGCTGTGAAGAGGGAACTGTGGGGACCTGCCGGGAGGGGGAAGGCCAATCTGTCATGTAAGCTCTGATTACTGTTGGTTTCTCCAGGCTTAGTTCACTCTGGTAACTTGCCAGTTCTTTGTGCTCAGCTCAGCTTTCTGGCATAAACTGTGAAAGGCAATGGCTTAATAATCACAAAATAACATATATTGTGTGACACATTGGCACCTGCATGCCTGTAGGTTCAGGTGAGTCTCGTGTTATATGAAATCACACCTTCCTAAACTGGATGCTGGTGTCTCACGCCTATAATCCTAGTTACTCAGGAGCCTGAGATCTGAGGATCAAAGTTTGAAGCCAGCCAGGGCAGGAAAGTCCATGAGACTATGATCTCCAATAAACCACCAGAAACCCAGAAAGTGTGCTGTGGCTCAAAGTGATAGAGTGCTAGCCTCAAGCAGAAAAGCTCAGAGACAGTACTCAGGCCCTGAGTTCAAGCACACAACTGACCAAAAAAACAAAAACAAAAACAAAAACTCACCTTCCCATTGGCTTATTATACTCACTCCACACAAGAGTCATTACAATTATTTTAGCCTTAAAAATTCATCTTTCCAACTTGCTGTTCTCTTTCCCTCCCTGTCCTTTCCTCCCCTCCCTCTCCTCTTCCTCCCTCCCTTCTCTTTCTTTCCTTCTTCCTTCCTTCCTTCCTTTTCTTTCTTCTCGTGCAGGTACTGGGGCTTGAACACAGTCTCATGCTTTCATTGTTTTTCTTGCTCATGGCTGGTGCTCAACCACTTGAGCTAAGACTTCAGTCCAGTATTTTTAGTGGCTTATTGGAGTTAAATCTTGGAGAGTGTTCTGACCAGGTCTCAACCTTTAGATTAGCTAGGATTATAGGCATGAAACAGCTGCACCTGACTTTCTTTCTTTTTTTCCTATTTGAGCCATTCCAATATGTTCATCTTGTTTGGATGTCTTATTATTTTTAACAGCAATTTTCTGGTACATTAAATATGTGTGTAGTAGAATGTGTCCCCCTAATATTTATTTGTTGAAATATTAACCTGTCAAGGTAATGATATTAAGAGGTAGGGCTTTGGGGGAGATGATTAATTTGTGAAGATGGAATTCTCATGAATGTGATCAGTACCCGTTTAAAAGAAACCCAGAGCCTCTTGCTCCTTCTATAATGTGAGGGACATGGGGAGAAGGCAACATTTCACAAAGTAACAAAGCTGGCCGGTATTCAGACTGTATCTGCCAATCCTGTTTTTGGAATTCTCAGCCTCTAGAACTATGAGAAATAGTACATTTCTATTGCTTGTATAGAATTACTCTAGGCATCGAATAGAATCTGAAGTGATGTACATTTAACACAATGTTTCATGGGAGCCATGTGGATTGTTTTTAATATGAAAAATGTTTTTTTTAAAGGCAAATCTTTGAGTGGAATCTATTTTTTGGAGATTGCGGATGTCTGATTCAGGGTCATAGTTGGGTAGGAAATCTGGAGCTGTGTAGGAGCTCTTCTCAGCGCTTCCATACCTGATGCTGACAAACTTATCATCCTTTCTCTTCTAAAGCATCCCGATCCCTGGAGTAAGGAGCAAGCTCGTAGCATTGTGCACTCCTGACCAGTTCTTTGTGGATATATCGCTTTCCTTGGACCGCACTGCAGAGGAGGGTAGACCTTGCAGCTTTGGGTCGTCTGGGCTTTGTTGCGTGGCCCTTCGGTAAGTCTTCATGGTCCTTTCTTGTTCCTTCCCCTCGACTGCTCCCAGATCTCTTCAAATTTTAATTTGCACCCGAATTGTCTAGGGGTCTGGCCAAAGCGTGGATCATCAGATCCTGACGCGGTGGGCTGGCATTTCTGATGGGTTCCCAGGGATGCCAATGTTGCTCTAAGCGAATATGGCTCGTGCACTTTTTTCCCTCGCACTTGGTCCCGGGTTCAGATGAATTGCCTTTCACTTCCTGGCTGAGTGATTGACAGAAGAGCTACTAATTACCCCAGAAGGGAAAATAAACCCCGGAAGGGAGAACACCCAGGTCGCTAATTTAAGTGCACGCGGGGGCGTGGCCAAGGGCGGGGCGGGGCGCCGCGACCTTGCGCCTGCGCAGCTTCGGTGCGCGCGCCTTCGGTGGGACAGGCTGACTTGGGGATCCCTAGTGCGCCGGGTAGGATGGGTGTTCCGGGCGTCACCCCGGGAAAATCTGGTCCCTCGGAGACCCCCGAGGGCCCCTAACTCTAGTTCCCGCGAGCCGGCGCCGGGCGGGCCCGGGGCGACCGTGGCCGGGCCCGGCCGGCGCGCACCCCGGAGCCGGACGGCGCTGCGGGCCGCGGGGCTCCCGACCCGGAGCTCCCGAGCTGCTTTTGCGCCTTCAAGCCCGGGCCGTGGGTTCTGCGCGGAGCAGGCCGCTCTCTGTGCCAAGCATGGCTTGGTTTTTGTTATTTTTGTTGGTCTTGGGGGCCTGAACTCTGGGCCTGGGCGCTGTCCCTCAGCTCTTCAGCTCAAGGCGAGCGCTCTACCACTTGAGCTACAGCGCCACTTCCGGTTTTCTGGTGGTTTATTGGAGATAGGAGTCTCACGGTCTCTCCTGCCCGGGCTGGCTTTGAACCGCGATCCTCAGATCTCAGCCTCCTGAGTAGCTAGGATTACAGGCGTGAGCCCCCAGCACGAGGCTGCTTGTCTTATCTTAGAGGGTGGAGGAAAACAGCTCCTTCCCACCTACTCACCTGCCTCTGGTTATCCTAAGTTACTTGGAACTTCACTTTCTGCATTTCCCATGAGAACAGTGAAGGCTTTAATCTTTTGATCCCTGAGTGATCACATTATCAAGATGAGAAAAGGGAATTTGGGGGCGTGGGGACACGTGGTGGCCGTATTAGAAGGCTAATACTACAAAAAGAGAGTATTTCATTACCTCTACCCTCAGTCCTTGTGAAAAGAGGTGGAAGCAGATGGAGCCAGGAAAACGTTAACACTGGGGGGCAGAGACAGTGTGACAGCACACAAAGGAAACTAAAAACCTGAGATTATAATTTGAGTTTACATTTCACATATTAAAATGGCATATCCTAATTTTTACTTTAAAAGACCACTTACCCATGCTGGGATGGTGGCTCAGTGGTAGAGCGCTTGCTTTGCATGCATGAGGCCTTGGGTTTGATTCCTCAGTACCACATAAGAAGAAAAAGCCGCAAGTGGTACAGTGGTTCAAGTGGTAGAGCGCTAGCCTTGAGCTGAAGAGCTGAGGGACAGCGCCCAGGCCCAGAGTTCAGGCCCCATGACCGGAAAAACAAACAAAAAAAAACCCCAAGACCACTTACCCCTTTTTTGGAGAAGATACCAGGGATTGAGTTCAGGGGCTGTAGATTCCCTCAGCTTGGTGCTCTCACAGTGAAACCCTGTCTCCAGCCCGGTGTTTCAATGGTTGAGATGGCTTCATGGACTTTTCTGCCCTGACTGTCTTGGAACTCTTAAGTCTCTAGATCTCAGCCTCCTTCTTGAGTAGTTGGGATTACTGACCTTAAGCCACTAGCTCAAGGTACTAGGGGATCAGACTGTAGGCATCACAAATGCTAGAATGAACTCTGCTACTGAGCTACACCCCAGCCCACTAAACCTCCTTTCTTAGTTGGCTTTCAGTTATAAGAAAATCAAGTCACTTTAGCCAGGTGCTGGAGGCTCTCACGCCTGTAATCCTAGCTACTCAGGTGGCTGAGAGCTGAGGATTGTGGTTTCAAATCAGCTGGAGCAGGAAAGTGTGTGAGACTCTTTAACTCCAGTGAACCACCAGAAAACTGGAAGTGGTGCTGTGGCTCAAAGTAGAAGAGGGCTAGCCTTGAGCAAAAGAGCTCAGGGACAAAAACGAGCTTTACAACGTCGGTGGGGGTGGGGGGGAGGGGAGGGAAGGAGAAGGATTGGGATTGGGGGGGAGGGGGGAGGCTGCGAAGGGATGTGAAGGGTAAACCAAAGGAGGAGGCTGCAATGCTTGGTAAGAAATGTACGCATTATCCTGCCCATGTAATTGTAACCCCTCTGTACAGTATGTTCACAAATAAAATAAAATTAAATTAAAAAAAAAAAAAGAGCTCAGGGACAGCGCCCAGGCCCTGAGTTAAAGCCCCTAGACCAACAAGAGAAAAAAAATCAAATCAACCGACTGTAATCAGCTTTCTACCTGTGGTCGGCCTCTTGTGTAATTTGGAGTACCTGCTAAAGGACATGGGTGCTGTTTTTAACCAAGCCTCTTGAGGGTGATACAATTTGTTTTTTATTTTAAACTTCTTTATTGACATAGATTACATAAACTTCACAGTACTGTGGGATAGTGATACTTAGCTAATGTCACAAACACATTTTAACCTTCACAAGGTGAATTGTCATCATGGTGATGCAATTAGTTTTAAAAGACCTAATAGCAATTCTAGAATAGGACCCGAATAATTTACTACTCAATTTTGTACTGTTTAGTAAAAACTGTGGTATGAACTGTGGCATGAACTGTGGCTCACTTCAATAATTTCATAAATGAACTCATCACTAAAAAGGTAAAACCACTTCAAAATAACCTTACTCTTTGTAGGCACTTTACTAAGAGCCTGCATATACCAGGCCTATTAAAGATCACCTCTTAATTCCTAGCTCAGCTAAAAAGTTGGAGTAACCTGTCTCCTACCATTGTATATCTTCAAGAAACATGTAAAACCTTGACTTCACTAGTTGACAGCTCCTGATCTTCTGTACTTTGTCTAATTGTGTATCTTTGAAGTTTATTGTGCTCTAGGCATTGATACAACTAGGTAGGGAGGGCATGTGTAAAAAAAGCATACGGTAACAAGAGTGTTATTTCCTATATACAAAGCACCCAAGAACTATGTTTAGATTCAGCAAATGAATATTTATACATGCTCATTCAGGTTGCTATTATTGTTAATTTAGGACAGCCTGTACCATGGAACCAACAGCAAAGAAGATCTTTAAAGGAGTTTTAGCAGCTGAACTTGTAGGCGTTTTTGGAGCCTATTTTTTGTTTAATAAGATGAACACAAACCAAGGTAATCACAATTCTGTAAGTAGTTATGCTTTCTAGAGGGTTTTACAGGGACACATTTGGGTACTAAATGCTAGTGGCACTTGTGGACACACGTTCTTCAGATTCAGTGCACTGAATGTTTTGATGGACTTGCGGGGAAGCAGGTACATTATTGTAAAACAGGTGACTCTAGTTTGTTAGATTGGGGAGACTCCTCATCCCTCCATGGCTTGCACTAGTAGGGAAAGGAAAGCAGGAGCCTGGATGGAGGAGACTGGCGGCCTACTCCTTCCCTGGTTGTAGGCTAGACAACAAGAGAACATCAGGCATTCTCAGGATGCTCTTTCTACAGACCATTCTAGTCTTCTCTGAATTAGCAGTGACACTAAAAACCTTTACCAAAACTCAACATTTTAAAACTATATTAAAGCCCTCAGCCTTTTAAATTAGGAAATGCTGCCTTTTCTTTCTTGGGTAGTGACTATTTTGGAAGTTTGCCACTTGTCTTTTTCAGAGTACTCCTGTGCCAAGGTGTAGTCTATACTTTTAAGCTGTATGTAAAGAAAACATACCAACATTTTTTCTTTTTTTTGGATGGGTCGTGGGGCTTGAACTCTAGGCCTGGGCACCATCCCTGTGCTCTTTGCTCAAGGCTGACACTCTACCACATGAGCCACAGCACCACTTCCAGTTTTCTGAGGTTTACTGGAGATAAGTCTCATGGGCTTTCCTGTCCGGGCTGGCTTTGAACCACAATCCTCAGATCTCAGCCTTCTGAGTTGCTAGGATTACAGGTGTGAGCCACTGGTACTGGCTCCACCCCAACAGTTTTTAAAAGCAAATTAAAGTTATCAACTTAAAAACTATGATCTTTGTATTTTTGTAATAGGTCAAAGGCTGATTTTTCTTAATATGTTTTAACATTTCACATGATTTTATAAATGGCAGCTATCTTTTATTTATAGTTTCTTATCAGGGCAAAGTGACATACATAAAAACAATTAATCAAGATTTCACAGTTCATAACATGCTTTAAAATCTTATTTCTAAGTAAAACATCATACATACAAGTCAAATTAAAAACTCTAAAATAACTTTAAGAAAGCTACATGTGAAGGCAAGTTCAACCTAGATTTTGTTGTAAAGAATTTAGCTCTAGGATGACTTTAAAACAAAACCTTTGCTGATACAAGGACACAGGATAACCTATTCCAACAATGCTGCCCACAAGACAGTATACTGGAAATGAACTTTACAACTTTGAGGGAGGTGGGGGAGAGAAGGATAGTGGGAGAACAAGGGAGGGGGTAGTAATGTTCGACAGGAAATGTGCTCATTGCCTTACTCACGTAACTGTAACCCCTCTGTACAGCATCTTTACAATAAAACTTTTTTTTTTGCCCGTCATGGGGCCTGAGCTCTGGGCCTGGGCGCTGTCCCTCAGCTCTTCAGCTCAAGGCTAGCACTCTACCACTTGAGCCACAGCGCCACTTACAGCTTTTTCTGCTTATGTGGTGCTGAGGAATCGAACACAGGGCCTCATGCATGCAAGGCAAGCACTGTACCACTGAGCCAACTTCCCAGCCCACAAATACATCTTAAATGTCTGTGATTCGTAGACCTTAAAGCGCTGAATTGTGGATGTATGTGTTAATATAATGAATTTCTGACCATATCTAATCAAAACTTTTTTTTAAATTTTCAGATTTTAGGCAAACAATGAGCAAGAAATTTCCCTTCATCTTGGAAGGTATGTTTTGCCTTAAGCAAAAATATAATACAAAGTAAATTTTGCAGATAACCTAGAAATTCTATAGTAACTTTATGACTAAAGGCTAAATGAATTTATTTTGTGATAACTGTCCAATTTTCAATACTATTCTCCCCTTATTTAGATCCTTTTGAGACCACAGTGTGGAAGAATCTCACCTAGTGTAAACTAGACAAGGGCACAGTTAGTGGACTGGATTCTTTCTTTACTTTTTGATGGTGATTGAACCCATGTTCCCATATATGCTAGGCAGGTTCTCTAGCACTGAACTACACTCTCATGGATCCTTGGACTTGAGAATGAGACCTCTTTGAGGTGGCAGAAGCAAACCAGAGCTGAAACCTTTAGTTTTAAAAGATTCATTTTTCTCCTTTCAGGTTTGCTGTCAGGTAGATATTAAATTCTACCTAATGGAATCTTTAAGGACTGAACAAGATGACATTATACTCTTAAGACTAACATTTGGTATAATGTAAAAAAGAGTGCTCATTACATATCAGTAGAATGGCTTGCGCTTACAAGTGAAGTAAAAAATCCTGTGGTTCTTTTCATTTTACTATGCAGCAGTATGTGAAAGCCTGATTTTCTCAACGTTTTAACATTTCACACGACTTTATAAATGACAGCTATCTTTATTTATAGTTTATTACAAATCCGTTGAAATGTCTGGAATGTATGGAATTAGAGAACAAGATCAAGAAAAGTGGATGAATAGCAAAAATTAAGAGTAAGAAAAAATTTAATTTATAATTTACTTTGAAATTCTCGTTTTCTTTGTTTTGTGGCGTTTTGGAGTCAGCCTCTTCTTTTTGAAATTTTTCTTTCTTTGGATGATACTTTTTGTGTCTCTGTTGTGTAGCCAATCGTCACGTTCAGCCTCCCACTTAAGCTGTTTGAGGCCTTTAAGAGAAGAAAGATAAGCGTATCACAGGGTAGATTCTGGACTACTATACAACATCCAACTGAGCAGCAGGAACTCCAGGTTTGCCATGGACTGCAGTCGCTCACTTTATTGTCAAAGTCTAATGTCTTAGGAAATGAAAGAAACAAATGCTACAGTTTCCCTTTCTCCAAAAGAAAGAAACTACCAAAGAAAGAAGTATACAAAGGTACTTTTAGCAAACTCATTCTATGTAACAATAGCCCACCTCCCTAAAAACAACAGTTAACAAAAAAATTTGTAGTCTGTAGCCTTTTCTTGGATGTTTAAATACATTTTAATTATGTATCCTCTATAGAGTAGGAGATGAAAAAGCTGTTCATTCAGGTTGTAAGGTCTCATAACAATGTCCTACTAAATATTCATCAGCCAAGTTCTCTGTGTTTGTTTTAGTACAGGGCATGGATCCCAGGGCTCATGGAATACTAGGCAAGTGCTCTAGCACTGACCTACATCCTAGCTGAAGACTATTTTCAAGTTACTTACTTGCATTGTCTTTGTTAGCCATGGCGTTCATACCAAGGTTATCAAACTTGGATCCCATATTTTCATCCAATAGGTGACCAAACTTAAAAAAGGAAAGGGGTGGTGTTAAACATATTAAAACACTTAAAATAATGTAAATCAATTAACTCCTTAAACTAGCAAATTAGCTTTACCTCTTCTGCAGACACAAACAAGCTGGAGTCATTGAAGTTTCCTCTCTTCTTCTTAGTTTTTGGTCCTTGAAAAATATGTTTAGATTATTCAGTTTGAACTCTAATGACTTCAAGGCAGAAAAGGTCAAAAGCTATGTAGATATGACCATGTAAGATGATATTAAGTGAAATGAACCCCACGATAGGGACACAAGTGGTTTTTTCTTTCTTGCTATTGTTTTTAATGTATTTATAATGTACTATGTGATTTTTTTTTTCTTTTGTATGTTCTTCTCCCACAGTACAACATGGTTTTCACTGTATTTGATTCTGGTGCCCTGCATCTTGTATATACATTTTTCTATTTGGGGAAGGGAAGGGAAATAACAAAATGCTGAAATAAGGATACAGGTTGACCCATTGCAACAATGAGATGTACAAGACACTATGTTGAAAACAAACTTTACAACTTGGGGCGGGGGGAAGGGATGGTAGGGGAAAAAAGAAGAGGTAACAATGCTGTACAGTATTTTTACAATAAAAAACATTAAAAAAAGAAATCTAATGAATTCAAAATGCAATATCTGTCAATACAATTATTTTATTTAAAAACATATTTTGGCAAAAATATAATGGCAAGTGCCTTCTAGTAGTGAGAAAACCCTGGAATTTAAAGATACAATTTGAGAGCTGATATGTATGATTTTTTTAAAAAAAGACTATCTTAACAAAAGTGTTTAGATAACAATAGTGTGTTCTTCTTTTTCAGAATTCGCTGCTGATCCTTTTACTGGAGAAGAAATATGTACCAAACAAGACTAAATTCTCACAGCGGACATGGGCAAGGTTTGAAATAGTTAAAGCAAAATATAAATTTTAATTCAGAGATCTTATTCTTTGGACTATGGAAATGTCATGAAGATATGTCTACAGTGTTATCAATATACTTTATACTTGTGAACTCATCTATTCTTCTGGATCTATAAACTTTTCAAAGTTGACAATAAGAAAATGTTATTTTGGGTATTTATTAACTTAAATTCATACAAGATTCTAAAGGTATTTAATTAGAAATACTGTTATAATGAATTTTCACCTTTCTTGAAATATTACTTTTTTATCTTTGATATCAATGTCTATAGCACTACTAGAGATTACTTTTAAAACAATTATTTTACATTAATGAGTAATGCTATTATGAATAATCATATCCACAGACAAGTATATGTGTGGCTATTAGAGAGCTACTTTTGATAGAATAGCACTGGGAAGATTTTAGTTTTTGGCTTCATTTATCCTGTATGTATGTAGCTGTGGTCTCAATTAGAAAGCATTTCTGTGCCACTTTTTAATTCTTAATGATACTGGATACCTATACACAGATATAATGTACCTCTTTTCGCTCTCTCTCTTTTCCAAATCAATCCCATCAGGTATCCTAAAATCTTAGGCTAATTTCTCCTGAAATAATATTTATTAAAGACATGGTTACCAAGGGAATAGCACCTAGTCAAAAGTGCAGGAGGATCTGATATAAATATTTTTTCCCCCTAATGGATGATTTTTTTTGGTTGGTTGTGGGGCTTGAACTCTGGGCCCGGGCACGGTCCCTGAGCTCTTCAGCTCAAGGCTAGCATTCTTGAGCTACAGCACCATTTCTGGTTTTTGAGTTGTTAATTTGAGGTAAGAGTTTCACGGACTTTCCTGCCAGGGCTGCCTTTGAACTGCGATCCTCAGATCTTAGCCTCTTCAGCAGCTAGGATTACAGGTGTAAGCCACTGGCACCCAGCCTAAGGGAGGATCTGGAGAAAAACTCTGCCTTGTATTTAAGCATATGCCACTAGCTAAATATGATCTCATGTCATCTAAAAGCAGGTGATATTGGACAATAACATAAATACCTACTAGCTGTCTTCTAGCACTAGGGGACAATCTACCAACAATATGTAGATAAAGTTGTTAAAATTGTTTTTCATTACTTTTTAGCTTGGCAAATTAATTTTTATTCAGTATTTATTTGGAAGCAGAAGCTAAATATATTGGAAGCAAAGTATATATTGTTTCCTACAATGTTACCACAAACTTAAAACTATCACTTGACCCAACACTCTTTCCATTTATTAGCATCTTTCAAATGGTATACTCTAAAGCATAATTTTGTAAGATGTAAAGAATGTTGGAAAATAGATTAATGGAAAGAACTGAAATATTTTCTAAAACTGCAGTCACCTAAAATAGGACAGCAAAGTTAATAAATAAGGGCTTTCACAAGGGTCAATGGCAAAGAATGTTTGAGCAAAGGAAAGAGGTATTGATATATATTTACATATATTCAAAAAGTATTTTGAAAATTCAGGATTTGCACATTATGCCAATAAATGCTTTAACTATGAATGACAAAATGGTCTAAAAATTTTAAATGTGAGAAAAAACTTAAAGGAGAAAATGGTATAGGTAATATGAGGGAGATAACAGTCTTCACATTAAAAAAGATCCTCTTGCAAAAACATCTTTTGTGTCTATATGTATGTGTGCCAGTCCTGGTGCTTGAATGCAGGCCTGGGTGCTCTTCCTGAGCTTTTTTGGCTCAATGCTAGCTGCACTCTACCACTTGAGCTATAGCTCCCCTCCCAACTCTTTTGGGGGGTAGTTTATTAGAGATAAAAGTCTCATGGACGGAAGTGGCGCTGTAGCTCAAGTAGTAGAGCGCTAGCCTTGAGCTGAAGAGCTGAGGGACAGTGCCCAGGTCCAGAGTTCAAGCCCCATGACCGACAAAAAAAAAAAAGTCTCATGGACTTTCCTGCTTGGGCTGGGTTCAAACCATAGATCTCAGCCTCTTACATTGTTCAGCTAAAGAAACATCTGTAGGAAAAATCTCTCTAAATTATACAAACTAATTTTATTCTCCAAAATTATAGTGAATACTACTTTTCATGTAGAAACTGCTTAGGTTTAAGAGATTAAATGAATTTTCTTACCTTGAAATGACCCAGCAAAGTCGATATTACCTCCACTCTTTCTCTTGCTTCTCTTAGCATTCACTTCGGAGTCGACTTCATCAAATTCTATTACCCAAAAAAGTTGCACATAAGCTATTTATAAATGACAGGACTGGCGAATATTACTTCAAAGTACACTAAAATCTAATAGCAAGGTACTGTACTATTATTCCATGGGTTTGTACCTTTACAATAACATTAAAACAAAGACTTCAAACATAAAGGTAACTGGTATAGTTCTCTATATTGTACAACCATATAATTTACTAGGTTAATTAGACCAAATAAAAGAACGTTTGCTTTCAGTACTGGGATTTGAACTTGCTAGGCAGATAGTCAATTGCTGAACCTCAATTGCAGCTCCAGTCCTTTTTGGTACTGGTTATTTTTAGGATAGGTTCCTACTACCTCCTGGGTATGTGCTTGGCAACAATACACCTATTTTAGGCTTCCAAGTTGTAGAGGGATGACAGGCATGTGCCAACTATGAGTTGAAAAGGGTCTTGAGAATTTGCTCCCTGAGCTTGTCTCAAACCATGATCCTCCTTGTTCTTATTCACCCATACATCTAGGATTACAAGCATGAGCCGCTGCTCAGCTAAAATTGTAATGAAGAAACTTGTGAGGTCCAATAGCAGGAAGTTAGGCAGATATGTGTATACTAACTAGAGCTATGTGAAATGCCAAGAAAAGTTAGGAACAGTAAAACAAAACAACACAAAACAGTGTTTGGTGCCCTGTGCTAATTTTTGTTGTTGTTGTTGTTGGTTGTGGGGCTTGAATTCTGGGCCTGGGTGCTGTCCTTCAGCTCTTCAGCTAAAGGCTAGCACTCTACCACTTGTGCCACAGCGCCACTTCTGGTTTTCTGAGTGGTTTATTGGAGAGAGAGAGGAGTCTCACGGACTTTCCTGCCCAGGCTGGCTTTGAACTGTGATCCTCAGATCTGGGCCTCCTGAGTAGCTAGGTTAGAGGTGTGAGCCACTAGTGCCCGGCTTCTGCTAATTTTTAATAAGATCAAATTTTGATCTTCATCTACTCCATCTAGGTGCAGAACTATGATGAGGACTTTAAAATATCGTTACTTTTTTTTGGTAGTAGTGAGGCTTGAACTCAAGGGATTCATACTGCTAGGCAAGTGCTCTATCATTTGAGCAACGTCCTCTAACCCTATATTCTTTAGTTATTTGGGGGATAGGTCTTGTTTTATGTCTGGGCCAGCCTGGACCACAATCTTCCTATTTATGCTTCCTGAGTAGCTGGGGAGCATATATACTATTATATCCAGCTTCTCACATAGGCTAGGTAAACACTCTTGCTCTGAGCTATACTCCCAGGTTCTTGTCAATTACTCTTCTAACATTAAAAAGAGGACAAGTAACAATACAGCAGGTACTGTATAGAGAGGTTAATCCTTAAGATTAAAGCAAAAGATCAGCATTTAACTCACCTGCTGAAAAAATAAGCATCCACAAAACCCACATTTACAAGAAGGAAAAAGGTTCTCTTTAAATTTCTGGTCTGTGTGACTATTAGTTTGAATGAATAGCTATAGTAAAAATCTTTATTAAAAACTTGCCACATGGAGGAAGAGAGATGTAGTACCTGGAATGCCCTCACTTTCATCTTCCTGCACATCCATAAATGTTCCTCCATCTTCATCAACTTCCTCGAATTCTTCATCATTCATGCTTCCGAGAGAAACTTCATCATCATCCAGGTTGCCAAACTCATCATCACTGCCCTCAGAATCGTCATCTTCCAAGTTTGCCTTCGTCCTTTTTGCTTCTTTCTTCACATTGCTGGAAAACACACAAAAACATCATGCAAAAGAGGGCAGTGTTTTCTAATGTGTGTTAATGCAACTAGCAGAGTATGAGGCTGTTGACTTAAAAGGAAATGACACATTGCAAAGTATATTAACGTTCACTTTTGTAAAGGTTCAGAATGAAAGTACTGTACTGGCTTCCCAAACTTAGCTGAATACATTTTCCTTGGATGTCACATAGTTCTATGGTCTCCTCAACTGGGCGACAACAATTTGGAAAATGCAAAGGAAAAGAGTAAGAGAAGAAGGAAAAGTACTTCACCTGGCAAAATCAAGATCATCCTTTCCAGAGGAGAAACAGTTATCATCTTCAAATGTGTCTGCAAGAGAATATAGAAACTGTGACACACTGCAAAGAATAAGAAGGTTGACAGGTCTTCTAACTAATAAAACCAATATAGTGACAGGATTGTTTAAAAGAAGCCCCAAAATGATACAAATGTGACTACTGCTAGTTTATGTCAACACAGTTCTTAACCCTTCACTTTGTTATATAACATTCTTAATCACTCAGCTCACATTTGCCCGTAATATCCCATATTTTATTAACAAATAATAATAGATTATTTTACAAATTGAATCATAAAAATGTTACCAATCAGCTTTTCAAATTCCTCATCATCCACATCTTCTATACTTTCTTCATCTGCATTCCGGTTTTGTTTCTCTTTAACAACAGCAACTTTCTTATAATACCTAAAATAAAATGCAAGTTACATAGTTTTACTAAAGATTTGATCTTTTGTATACCCAACTGGGTAAGAATGAATGAAATTCGTATTTAATATGTAAGAAAGGTTTTGAATTCAATAATACCTGTAATGTATATGTGAAGTGTAATAAATTTAGAAGACTTGTTTCTAGGCGAGCTCATACCTATATTCCTAGTTACTCAGGAGGCTAAGATCAGACTCTTACCTTCAATTATTCAGCAAAAAGCCAGATGTGGAGATCTTGCTCAAATGGTAGAGTATCAGTCATGAACAAAAAAACTGAGCGAGAACTTGAGTTCAAGCCCCAGCACTGGCATAAAAAAACAATACAACATACAATTAAAAAGCCAGGAGTTATTGCATATTCCTGAAATCTCAGCATTTGAGAAGCTGAGGAAGGACGATTATGAGTTTGATGCTAGCTGGAGCTAACCAGCAAGATGTTGCTGCAGGGGCTGGGAAGGTGGCTCAGTGGTAGAGCACTTGCCTTGCATGCCTGAGGCCCTGGGTTCAATTCCTCAGCACCACATAAGCAGAAAAAGCTGCAAGTGATGCTGTGACTCAAGTGGTAGAGCGCTAGCCTTGAGCTGAAGAGCTGAGGGACAGCGCCCAGGCCCAGAGTTCAGGCCCCACGACCGGACCTCCCCACCCCCCCCCAAAAAAAGATGTTGCTGCTGTTGTTATTGTTTTGTATTTTGTGCTGGTCCTAGGGCTTGCAGTCAGAGCCTGGGCACTGTCCCTCAGTTTTTGGGCTCAAGGCTAGCACTCTACTACTCTGAGCAATAGCTCCATTTCTGGCTTTTTGGTAGTTAATTGGAGATAAGTCTCATGGACTTTCCCGCGCAGGCTAGCTTTGAACCATGATCCTCAAATCTCAGCTGCCTGGGTAGCTAGGATTATAGCTGTGAGCCACTGGCACTGGCCTAAGATGCTATTTTTTAAAAAGAAAAAACAAGGTAGAAATGAATTGGAGGTGTGACTCAATTAGTAGAGTGCTAGCTGTGAGCAAATAAAGAAATGAAGCCTAAGTTCTACAAACTCTGATTCATAAAACAGTGATTTAAACTTCCCTTACAAAAATGGATAGACATATCATTTGTAATTTTCATAACATGCCAATGACAAAGTATTTTATGGAATCTAAAGCTTTATAAATAGCTCCCCAAATGAAATGACATTAAGTATATTACCTATAGAAAAACACTTCATCCACTGGTATTTGGCTTTCTTCTTTTGCAAGGAACTCCTTACTATTCACTATAAAAATAAAACCAAAGCATTTAATTTTTTTATAGTCCTTCATGGTACTCAAGCTTGTGAGACTACATACAATCTTTTTTTTTTTTTTTTTGTCTTTTCTTTTTTGGTACTGGGGATCGAACCCAGGACATTGCACTTGCTAGGCAAGTGCTTTGCCACTGAGCTACATCCCAGCCCGAGACTACATACAATCTTAAAGCGTGAGCAAGATGGGCAAGAGATTCGGAAGCAAAAAGGACAATGGAGACTCAGCATTCGAAACTACTAATTATAGAAAAAAACTGGGTGGTAGGTACACAGTCCACCCACAAGGGAAGGTCAGGGTCTTTGTTGTTTTCCAGTTGGGATATGGGATCCAGATTTCAAGATAAATAAAAAAATTCAGTAATAATAATTATCACTATAAACTTGCCATTTTGTCTTGGAAGAAAATGACAATACTAGCTATTCTAAGAACATCTAGTTGAAAGTATATAGAGCTTTCTACAATTTTACTTAATACTGAGAAAACTATGAAATGAGAATAATATACTTTCTGTCTTCACAATTAAAGTTTGACTCATTTTGATTACCTTGATAAACTGGAGTAAAGAATATCAATTGATGTTTTACTTTTCTGTTTCAACTGTCCAAACTTTATACTTACCAGCAAGACTGCGAATGTCCTTTATAAAATGTTTCCTTTTGGGCTGCATCACAACACTGTCAGTATTCTCTGAAATGCAAATCAAACTAATGTAAGACTTAGCTATACTGGCTATAGGCTCATATTATTTTCTAAACATAGCAGTAAAAATGCAATAGTTTATAGAATGAGGCATACCTTTGCCTTTATGTGGCTTTGGATTTCGGTATACGAATCTATCCAAGAATCTTATTAGTGTGAAATCCTCCAGTGGGTCCCCTGAATACTGAATGTGATTTCCCTGAAAAGCAGAAAGCGAGGTTTTAAGAAGTTAATTAAAAAATAATACACTGGTGCATAAGCAACCAATAAAATGTCAGTTATCCTTATCATACATATTTTAAGATGAATTGTGGATTTCATGGATAAATACTATTAATGGAGACCAACAGCCAGGAACCAAACCTTGAAGTGATACACTAGAAATGAGAAAGAGGAGAAGATTCTTTCTCTAGAAAAGCCAGAATGTGGCAACTACAATAGTTTTCTAATGGCATATAACCCATTCATCTTAGAGTGGGAAGAATTATTTGCTACTCTACATTACGTAAGATGCTGCTCCTTTATAAGTGCAATAAAACATACATGATTCTGTCTGTGGGGGAAAAACACTATGACCAACAAGTGATAGGTATTTTTGAATACACTTACCTCAAGGATAGTCTTTGCAAAAAGGGCCACAGAAGGATGAAAATGCTCAGCTAACTAAAAAGAAAAATGTGGATACATCAGTGTTTCTAAGGTCAACCCATCCCATAATTATAGCATGAGGACAGCTACAAAGTTGAAACTTAAACACATCAGAAAAGTGATTTTTCAAACACTTGTCTTAGGACTATTGATACACTTTAAAATCAAGGATTCTACCCAGGAATCCTCATGTCTATAATCCTAGCTATTCTTGAGGCTGAGATCTGCAGATCAGTGTAAAAGCCAGCCCAGGTAGGTATCTTCGAGACTTTTATCTCCAATTAAACAGGAAATATAAGCAGAGATAGAACAAAAATTCAAGTCGTAGAATTGTGACTCCTCACCTATTGTGGGAGTTATGTTCCAGAGACCCCTGCAATAGGTGAAAATGAGCAAAGCAGCAGCGTTAGCTAGTCATCCCTTGTTATATTACAGTTCGCTTATTGCTACTTCACAGATTTTCACCTATTGTGGGGAGGTGTCTCTGGAATGTAATTATTGCAATAGATGAGAAACCTCTACTTTTTAAAAAACTCATGATACAGTGAAACTGCAATAAGTAAACTGTGATATAGCGAAGGACAACTGTACGAGCAAGTGCACATGGACATACATGGACAGAATAAAGGACTCCAGGACTGTGGGGTGACAGATAACGTCATAGGAATATATTTAACTCACTTTACGAAAGAAATCAGAGAAAGGCTATTAGAAATACAGATTCTCTTTCCTTTAAAAGTAACTGTTTGCAAAAAATTCTAATAATGCACAAAGCAAACTATCCATTTTACTGCAGTTTCATGCAGTCATCTACTGACAGAAAGCAATAAAACACCAGGCACTGGTAGCTCATGCCTGTAATCCTAGCTACTCAGGAGGCTGAGATCTGAGGATCACAGTTCAAAGTCAGCCCAGGCAGGAGTCTTGTGAGACTAATCTCCAATTAACCACCAGAAAACCAGAAGTGGGCGCTGTGGCTCAAGTGGTATGGTGCTAGCCTTGAACTGAAGAGCTGAGGGACAGCACCCAAGCCCAGAGTTCAAGCCTCACGACCCCCCCCCCCCCAAAAAACAAAAAAAGCAATAAAAAATACAACCGTATGTTATTTTGTACAAAGTGAAGCCCTTAAAAACCATTTGCTACCAAATATGCAAGTTTCATTATTTATTAACTCTTGTATATATTATTTGCAAGAAAAATGCAAACTAAAAGGTATAGTTACAAAGGCAAGAATATAAAGCATATAAATATAAATTGAATATAAATATATAAATATATTAGAAAATATAAAATAAAACATAAAAATATATAAAAATATAAATATAAATAGAAGATAATTTGAAATTGCTTCACCTTTTTGAGTTCCCAAAGACTTGTGTTTTCAGCTCCACAAAACAAAGGATTTCTACTGAATGGATCGTAAGTATTTAACTGTTTGCCACCTACAAAAAAACAATAAATGTATTTCCAAATGCTTTATTCCTAGCACAAAAGGCCACTAAATCTACCACAGTAGGTATAAGTTCCAACATTCTTACTTAGTCCAGTATGTTAGAGTTAAAGTTCCAAATCTTTTTTTTTTTTTGGGTCCGGTTGTGGGGCCTGAACTCTGGGCATGGGCACTGTCCCTCAGTTTTTCAGCTCAAGGCTACCACTCTACCACTTGAGCCACAGCGCCACTTCCGGCTTTTTTTCTTTTTGCTTATGTGGTGCTGGGGAATGGAACCCAGGGCCTCATGCATGCAAGGCAAGTGCTCTACCACTGAGCCACCTTCCCAGCCCCAAGTTCCAAGTCTTTTAAAGAATTTATTATCAAAGTTTAGTATTTGTTCTTGAATAAAACACACAATGTATTTACTCTAACTACTATAAGGTTTCTATAGTAACTAAAAGTGAAAAAAAGTCATAAATGTTAAGACGAAATTAACCTGAAAATGGAATAGGTCAAGTCTTTTGTGGTTATAGAGCCCATGATACTTGTTATCAAAAGCATGTCCAGAAATAATTCTTACTTGGAATAGATTTACATTACCTTCATATTTTCAGACAATCAAAATTAAAACAAGATTACATGGTCTACTATGAACTGTCTCATAACACATATGCTTGTCATCCTTCTAAAGGATTACTCTTATTTTGGTCTTCAGGGTAACTGATAATTTTTTTTGGCCCTACTATCCTATTAAGACTTAATTTGATATGTGTGTTTCACAGAAAGTTTTACTCTAAAATAGTGCTTTAAGAAGTTGTAGAGGAGCCGGGTACCCATGGCTCATGCATGTAATCCTAGCTACTCAGAAGGCTGAGATCTGAGGATCACAATTCAAAGCCAGCCTGGGAAAGGAAAGCCCATGAGACTATTACCTCCAATAAAACACCAGAAAACTGAAGTGCCTCAAGTGGTAGAGCGCTAGCCTTGAGCTGAGGGATAGCGTCCAGGCCAGAGTTCAAGCCCCACGACCAACAACAAAATAGAAGTTGTGGAGTGTGAATATGATGATCAAACAATAGAACCAAGAAATTCACAATAAATAATCAAATATTTCAATATATGAAATATAATTAACAGTGTATGGCCAAATCATACTCCATTTATATACCATCTTTGGGTATCATGTGCTCCATGTTTGAGGTCTTGGTTCAAAGGTATAATCGGGCACTTACAGTGGAAGGAAATGAAATTTATGGTGCATCTAATGTTTCCACAATTTCTTCATCTGCCTTCCATAGGTCTAATTGGTATATACTAATGTGTGGTTTGTTAATAAAGACATTAGTAACTTACTACGTTAAAAATTTCCTTCTATGGATGCAGATGTAGCTTAATGGTATAGTTCTTGTCTAGCATGCATAAAGACCAATCCAACCTGCTCTTTTAAAATGAAGATCAAAGAAGAAACTAAGGTAATAATTTAAACATTAAAAGAAACTCACCTTTCAAATTATCAAAGTGTACCCAGGAAGCTGTCTTTGGTTTTTTAGTTTCTGTATTATTTTCAGACAGAGTTTCCTCTGTTTCAGTCTTTTTCTCTGCATCTATTTCTGATTCTTTATCTGCATCTGTGACCTGTTCTATGTCATCATCCTCCACATCAACAAAATTTTCTTCATCATCAGGTCCCTAACAAAAACATACTTTAATGAATCTATGTTAAATGGCTCAATGAAATTTGCATTCAATTTTATAATCTATAGTTCTGAAGATTCACTCATTGCAATTTTAACAAAATATGAAATAAAGTGGAATGATGCCATCAATGCTAGTTAGAACAGAAAGATTATGCTCTTCAAAACATAATCTTTTTTTTTTTTCTTTTTGTGGCAGTATTGATGCTAATTCAGGGTCTGGGTGCTATCCCTTAGCATTTTGGCTCAAAGCTGCCTAGAGTGGCACTGAAGTGCTATCCTCAGATCTCAGCCTCCTGAGGAGCTAGAGTTACAAGCATAAGCCAAGAGTTTGATCCAAACAAAGTTTTAAGCCAAGAATTCCTGAAATTTTGGAACTATTCTTTGAAACCATTAAGTTCTCAAATACCTAATATAAATAGTCCTATAAAGCAAGTGCTATTTTCCATCTTAACATTAAGAAACAGGTTTAAAAGATATACTACTAAGCTCTTCTACACCATCTCATAATTGTAGTTTTTAGTGCAATACAGTTTATTACAAGTGGAAAGGCCTATCAATCTGCTTAACTTGTTAACTATAGTTAATCTAGCACTAAAACTCAGATTCATCAAACTCTAGAACTTATTATAAGCTCTAGTAAATTATGTTGTCATTGAAGCAAAGGAAAACAAAAAAACTAATATATCACAGCACCCACTCAATTTAAAAAGCAGTTGTAAAATATACCAGGTGATCATTCAGTTGACTTCTTAAATCTGGTTTTGCTTTAAGGATCTCAGACACAAGATACAAAGCCCCACATATGAATGGTGGCATCTGTACACAAGTAACTTGGAGCAACCTCTTCAAAAAAGCCTTCACCCGGCGCAACACGATGTCAGCTTTCAGAGACTTGTAGACAAGGTTAAGAAACATAGCTTGCTTGGAACACATCATTAACCCTGGGTCCAACATTTTCCTGTAAAATGATTAAAGGACAAATATTTCTTCATAAAATCATCTCTACAACATTTTAGACTCAACAGCCAATCATATAACTGAATCTCAGTGATAATTTCCTTCTTGTTCAAATGAGATCATTTCTGCCCTAATAGATAAAATGTAACTTAGTGACCCTCAGAGTTGATGATTAAAAAGGGAAGGAAAGGCATGGGAACAGGAGGCATCAGCCTCCCCCCCCCCTTTTTGCCTGTATTTGCCTTTTTTTTCCTTTTTATAAATCAACAGGTAGAGCCTTAACAGTGTAAATTTTATACAGATACTGAAAGGCCAAAGGGAAGCTGACTCACAAAGCAGTGGACTAGGAGATGGAGATGAGGGGCTTGTTTGTCCTTGCATTGCTACTTTACTTTCTGGATAACCTTGGGTATCCAGAAAATAGATCATGAAGACTTTAGGTAATCTATGGCTCAATGTACCATCTGCAAAGTACTCTTTCCATCCATGCCTCTCTGCTCAGAATACTCCTCCTCAACTCTCTCCATATACACAGCACATGAATTCAATTCATCTACTTCTTTCAGTCCCAACATGTATGTTGTCCAGTTTCACCTTTGGCTTTTCTGTAGTTTCACTCAAAGTCCAATAGGAATTGTCTTTGTTATTATTGCTGTAACCCCAGAATCTTAGGTTATAAGGTCAATGTTGGATGGATGCATAACTTTTAAAAGCAGATGAATATTGCTTGTAACCCAATCCAATGTTGGACAGCTTGTTTTGCTAGAAATTCTGTTTTCTTGCTTCTGGGGAATGAACACAGGGACTTGTGCATACTAGACAAGTGCTCTATCACTGAGGTGTTGTCCTAAATTTTATGCCTAGAAATGTTTTCTTTGTCCAAAGCTGAAACCTACTCCTGGGTTATATCCAACCATGAGATCTTAGGTGGCTGGAGCCCAAACTATCCTCAGCAATACATATCAACTACACTTTAAACTACAAAGCTTTTCAAATATTTGAGCCAATATAGCTATTATGTGTCTCTAACAGGCTGCTCAACTCTAATTTCATGTTTGGGGTGATGGTACTGGGAACTGAATGCAGTGCCTTAACATGTGCTCTACCACTGATCCGTTATCAGAGTCTTGCTCGTATTTTAAAGTACTCCATTTCTAGTTGCTAATTCTAGAGATTCTTCAACTCTCGTGGACCTCCAGACCATAGAATGCTCATAATGAACCCTATCCTCCACATTAGCTTTAATACTATATGGTGGAATTATTACTTCCTTGCTTCCAAGTACTTTCACTACTGCTAGAAATATAATCACTTATTCTTGTGAAATGTTTTCATACTGCTGTACATACCCATGTCCACCAATTGCCAGTTGTGTAACTGTAGAATCTCTTAGTGATACTTTTAGTTTGCTATTGAATTCTTTACACACTTAAACTTTTCAACATTTCTATCCATTTAACTCAGTTTTAGTCACAAACTCCATCCTATATCACAATTGAGAATTTACACAGGAGAGTCTCCATCATTTAACAAAAAATGTTCCTGAAGTTTTTGACAAATCATATGTCTATAAACCAAATGTCATTTCTTTTGCCCGTTAATAGGGAATTTTCTTTAAAAGGATTTTTAGTAAGACCTATAACAAGCAAACACTTCATGAGTTTACAAACCTCATAAAGAAAACCATCTGTGAGAGGTGCTGGCACAGAGTAATTAAAAACTCAGGAATTATACTTTGCTGTGTTGTATACTTTGCTGTGTTCAATGAACTTGTGATATTACACAGATATAGACAAATGTTTTCAGAAAAATTAGAAGTTCTTTAAATATTACAGCGAAAAACCTTCAAGACTCCAAATTCTACATTTTCAGCCTTGGGACAGTTCCCAAACTAAAAACATTATTATTTAGCAGCCAGCATTTAGTGAGCTGAGTCATGTTAAGAACTTAACATACACCTGAAGATTATATGTTAGTACATATATTGCTGTAGTTTGGTTTTATGTTCCCTCTTAAGGTCTGTGTGGTAAAGGCTTGGGTTCCAGCAGGGTGCTACTGTGAGATGGTGAAACTTTTAAGAGGTGGAATTTAAGTGGGGGAGGTCTTTAGGTCCTTAGGGAAGGACCTAAAAAGAAGACTGTTGCATCTGGCCCTTTCTTCTTACAAAGCTAACATACATTAACTCATCAATCATCATTAAAGTTCTGGCTCTATCAGTCACTGCCTTTATGATCTTGGGAAAATTTTGCAATCCTCATAACTATACAAGATAGATAACATTATGCTTTGAGTTTATGCTAAATTAACTACTGTTGTACATGTTTCTTTACACACACACACACACAGAAATATGACATAAAAAAATATGTAGCACTGTTGGAAAGACCAGTATACAAAACCTTAATGTTGAAAAAGAGGGTTAAACATGCCCTTGTCTCAAAAAGCTGAGATCATAGGTATGTATTATCATGCCTGGCTGAAAAAAGCATACTTGCCCAGCAGATAACAATGCTCTATGGAGGAGATATAAAAGAATAAGTAGAAGTTTCTTTCATACCTGAAATCCTATTTCCTTAATATTCCAAAAAGAAATGTAGCAAAACATAAATTTTGCTTTTAACTCAAATAACTCAAAAGTTGGTGAGTACTGAGTTGCTGAGGGAGGCCTCATCTCCAGGTTTCTAACTCTCCTCTGGTCCAAAAGAGAAGCACTGCACTGAACTTGCCACATGAGACCAACTTATTCCTGATATCCATACATTGTTGTACAGTGTACTTACCTGTATAATGCTGAATAGTATCGATCAGAAATTGTCTGCTGAGAATTCATTACTTGAAAAAGTAACATTAAGGCCTGTACACTGGTACTGAAGTTTACAATATGCAACACCCTGAACAAGGTATCTATCTGCTCCCTCACTTTGTCATCACCTGTCTCAGAATAGGGGTATGCCCTATTCACACCTGTTAAAAGGGCACTAAGCATTTTTGACTCAATATCCTTTTTCTTGATACAAGTCCGAAAAAAACAAAAATAAAGAGTTATTAATTTGTTAGCCAGTTCGCTTTCTTCGTGGGAGAAAACCATTTGATTCAAAAAACAAATTGCATAATATTGAGCTTTGGAGCTGATATTTGAGCGAAAGAGAAGCCTTTCTACTTCATCACATACAACTCTTTTCATATTGGGATGTTTACAGAGTAATGTCTCTAATAGATGAGAGGCTTTTGTGGCAATTTTATTCTGAGGATCTCCCAGTTTATTTACTACCTGAACAAGAAGAGCCTTTTCTTGCTCAGGTTTGTTACAAAGAAGCTCATGAGCTGTAATAAGGGCTCTAGTTTTAGTGGCTACTAATGAGTCATGACTTAAAGTTTCTAAGACCTGCACAAATTCAGCTACTGAGTGTTTCAGCTGGTGTTCAAAGTACCACAATATCAGTCTTCTATCTCGTGAATCCTTGTTGCCACCGGACATCTTTTCTAGTTTGTGGAAAGGATGCTGGCTGAAAATTCTTAGCTTTCGGCTTTCTGGCAAAAGGTCTGTGATGAGTAACTCTTTGAAAGTATCCAAAGCCATGAGGCACTGTTGTTTGCTGCCTTTCTTTTTAACAAGGTTCACCAGAGTTTCTACAAAGTGGAGTGTGTGAACAGCATCATCCTGGATGAGAAGAATCATGGCTGCCATTCTGTCACCTAGTGTTCCTGAGGATACAATTGCCTTCATCCAGGTAGAAGAGCCTCCCTTTTGATTGTTTGTCTTGTTTTTGAATAGGTTGACTTCATGTTCATACAGCTTCTGAGCCAGGGTTTGGTACTTAGACACAACTTCCTGAGACTGGGGTTCCAAAGAATATTCATTGCAATACTCTAGATCAAACCATTTGCCTCCAGGCTTGAGTAACAATGTCTGCCTTTCAAAGAATTCAAAGATGTCTTGTTTCTCTTTGTTCACTTTTGGCACACTGTCATTCTTATCAGAACACTGTTCTGGCTTATTCTTATTTTTCTTCTTGCTGACTGTCTTTTCATTTTCTGCTGAATTTTGCTTTTTCTTATCTATTGTAGATACTTTGGCTTCTTTTTTGCCGGCATTTTCTTCTTTTGCTGGTTTATCATCTTCAGTTAAGGACTTTGCATATTTAGCCAAATTAAGGTTTTGAATAAATGCTTCCAATTCACCTTGCTGAAGGTCATCAACTGCTCCTTTTTTGCCTCCGTCCACCACTTCCTCATTCTCATCCAAAGTAACCAGCATAAGATAATCTTGCTGCATGAAAACACAAGAAAGTAAAAAATACATTGTGAATCAGCATTCATTTAAAACTTCATCTTTGAAATTAGTTGAAATCAATGAAACTAATTATTATGGTAATACCTAGAATCCTATCTTATGCCCAAGTAAATACTTCATGGATAATTTTAAAATGTGAACAATGACACCATAAAATAAGACAAGTACAATATAACTAAACTGAGAATTTCAGAGTAGAGAAAACATCCTTCAAATTAAAAAAAAAAAAGCCTCAGAGTTCACAAAGAACAGGATCAGTTAAGTTACCATTTCTTCTCACACACAAAGCACACAGCAAACCAACAGACAAATAACAAATTAAAAACAAATAGTAACAACTCATAGTAAAGTGGTTTTAGTAGCTTAATATGAAAGTTCCCACACATCAGTGATAAAGGGACAAATATCCAGTAGGAAAACCTGCAAAGGATATGAACAGTATAGAGAAGAGAAGGTCCTTCCATGATAAAAAAAAAAGTTCAACCTTGCATTTACAGAAATCCAAATTCAAATCACAATGATACATCCATTTAACCTGGTTTGGATAAGTGAGAGAATAAGGTGTTTGTGAACAGGATTGATGTGAATGTAAATGGGCACAACCTCTATTGAGGGTAATTTATCAAAATCAAACTATGGGGTAGGGAAATGTGGCTCAAGTGGTAGAGAACTTCTCTCTCATGCTGGAGAGCCTCTGGGCTCCATTCTGCAACAACATTAAAACAAGCAAACACCTAAAAGGCACATCCATAGCCTTTAATCTGAAAGTGCACATTTAGAAATGTGAAGCAAAATATGTTTAATGTCATTTACCACAATTAGTTAAGATTGCAAAAACAAGGCAACAACTTAAATAACCAAAATAAATGGCTGGCTAAAATTAAGATATAATAATTTAGGCAGTCATAAAATCAACGATACAAGATTTTTTTATAGATATACATTAGATTCTTGAAGGTGGAGAAAAGATGCAAAATATATGGTACTGTGTAAAAAATGACACACATAATTCATAGACAGGTGCTGAGTAAGTATCTGCATAGTAAGGTAGAGACTTACTGGCAGACAAAAGTTGTTATCATGTGGCGATATTACCTATTCAGATATTAAATAAAACTCCTGTAGAGAGTAAGCTATTCTTACGGGTAGCAAATGTCTTTCCTTCTAACCTCATCTTTGGTCTCCAAAGAAAAGAATACTTCTAGAAATTAGAACAAATCCTGCTTATAATCTTTTTGTTGTTGTTGTTGTTGTTGGTCATAGGGCTTGAACTCTGGGCCTGGGCGCTGTCCCTCAGCTCTTCAGCTCAAGGCTAGCGCTCTACCACTTGAGCCACAGCACCACTTCCGGTTTTCTGAGTTAACGGTTAATTGGAGATAAGAGTCTCACGGACTTTCCTGCCCAGACTGCCTTTGAACCATGATCCTCAGATCTCAGCCTCCTGAGTAGCTAGGATGACAGGTGTGAGCCACTGGCGCCCGGCTCAGCTTATTACGATCTTTGAATGGAGAAAAGCCCTTTCTTACATTTGATTATCTCAATTCTTACTATTCTTCCTTCTTTCTGCGTCGGCTACAGTGCATTTCTGCCTCCACAGCACCAGTTAGGCGCAATTACACTTTGTATCTGCGGTTCCAGCTGACAGGTACGTAGCTCTCTCTTGTTCTTCAGGGTTTTTTGCTCAACTCTCTTCTCAGAGATCCTCTCTCCGATCCTACCATTTAAAACGGCAATGCCCCTCACTACTTAGCGTCTGAGGAGCAACCACTGCACCTGTTTGTTTGCTGTCTGTCATACTAGCACGTGCGTTCCGCAAAGAGGGCTTGGGGAGCGCAGCGAGCACGCCCAACTCTCAGAAGTTGCAATTCCCACACCGCGGACGGTCACGACACTGGAGCGCGGGGTGAAGACCGAGGCGCCGGGTTCCTCCCGCCTGACCCCGCAAAGAAATGAAAGGGTCCTCTACATCCTGGGGCAGGCGATCACGCCAACGCTCTGAGGGAAGGCGCGTGGGAAGCGCCCGCGGCGCACTCGGCAGGGGAGACTCGGGCCCAGGCGGCCTCCTCGCCCCGTGCGAGCGCGGCCGGAGCGTCGTTCCGACCCGCGAAGCCTCCCGGGCCCGGTACCTGAGCCCCTTCCCCGGAGGCCGGCGGCGCTCACCTTAGTGCCTCCGAGGCGTAACACTTCCTCCAGGGAGAACCCATTGTCGGCTTCCACGCCGTCATCCTCGTCTTGCTCATCTGGATCCTCCACGGTCGCCTCCGGGCGCCAGGGCCGCTTGTCATGGAACTCCAAAGGTTTCCTGGCCCCCGACATGGCTAGCAGAGCACGCGCGCCCAGCTAGCGCTCACTTCCGCCCCGCCCGTGACGCACTTCCTCCGGGGACGTGTTATCTTCGGAAGTGGCCTCTCGGCCCCGCCCCCGGAGGCGGCGCCTGGCCACCGGCGGAGCTCGGCAAGATGGTCCCGACGAGTCCCGTCGCCCGGCCGCTGCGTCACGTCGCGCGCGCTCGTGAGCCTCTCCCTGCAGACCCGCGGTTGCCGTGGGAACCGCTAGGCTGGCTTTCTCAGTTTCTGGATTTAGGGCTCCGGGGCCTCGCTTCCGGCCTGCGGGCGCTGTGGACGCCAGCCGCGGCCGGCTGCGGCCGGGGGCGGCGCGCGGGGCGCCCGGCGCCTCCTGGCCTGGAAGCGCCGCTGAGCGTTAGCAGAGCTTCCTTGAAAGCTCTCGGGATGTACATTCTGACTTATAATCGGGGCTGCTGCTTACTCTGCTTTTTCTTCTTCTTCTTCTTCCAGTCTTTCCCTGTGTTTGGAGAGGGAAATACTTCAGCTCCGGGAATGAACCGGCAAAAAGCAACCGGGTGACACCAATGTTTCGACATCTCATGTACAAAATAAAGTCTACCGGTCCCATCACTGTGGCCGAGTACATGAAGGAGGTGTTGACCAACCCGGACAAGGTATGGGTAGAGGAGCCTAAGAGCAGACTCACTCTGGAAGATTTGTGGCGTGAGCCACAAGGGGTGTGTGCAGAGAATGATCCCCAGACACCTGGGGACAGAAGATTTAATCTGTCAATTAGTCAGGGCTGGAGCAAGCCCGGGGCTCTGCCAATAAAGAGAAGGTTCCATGTGTTGAAGTAACTTCAGAAGGCAGTTTAAGTGTATATACTGTAGTTATATAGTTCTTTACTATTCAGGATTAGGGACTGTCATAATTTCTGAATTGTATTTTCCTGTCTGTTCTGCAAAGCCCTTTGATAGAACCCCGTGGTTCTTTATTTTTTATGAAATTTCCCCTTTTGTTGGGTTAAATGTGACCCTAGTGGACTTCTGAGATTGGCTTGGCCTATTGCTGTTGATATGGTGGAATGACTTGTGTCCAGTGGGTTACTAAAGACAGGGACGTTATAAGGTAATAGAGTGATAGTAAAAATGGGATGGGAAGTGAGTAGTTTAGAAATAGGTTTTAGACCTATAGAATCTGCTGATGGTTTAGTTGTGGAAGGGTGAAGGAAAAGGAAATGAGATTGATTTCTAGGTTTTCAGCTTGAGCATTTGGGTAATGGCAGTGCCTTCAGTTACTATCATTAGGACAGAGGGCCACATTTCCAGGAATACAGGGGAAGAGCTGTACTTAATACTTTGGGGGAGGAGGGGCACTATGATGTCTAGGTAGAGATGGTAAGTGGGAATCTTCAGACGGGAGAAAGATTGGGTATATGTATATAAATTTACTTGTCCCCAGAGTAATAATTGTATTTAAAGCCAAGGAACTAGGGACAGTGTACATAGAGGAAAAGGTTTTCCAGTATTAAGACTTGAGGGTATTTTAAAACTTAATGTTGAAGCTGGGCACTGGTGGCTCATGCCTGTAATCCTAGCTACTCAGGAGGCTGAGATCTGAGGATTGTGGTTCAAGGCACCTGGGCAGAAAACTGGAAGCAGGGTTGTGGCTCTAGTGGTAGAGCGCTAGCCTTCAGCTGAAGAGCTCAGGGACAGTACCCAGGCCCAGAGTTCAAGCCCCACAACTGACCAAAAAACAAACTTAGTGTTGAGTTTCTTAACCTAAAGACTCTTCTCTAAAAAACTGGAGGTTTATGAACTTGAATTGCAAAACAAATGCCAAAACAAAAAACATAACTCATTTATCTTCATTACTTTCTTACTGAAATACCATATTTCTTTAATTATGAATATCGGCAACAACCATAAATACCAGTGATACCTGTGACTTTGTCATCAGTGAAAATCACCAATATTGACATATCATAATATAGTGATCATTAATATCTCAAAATGCCCATGATTAATTATTAGACCATTGGCCTGTTTTTTCACTTAATATAAAGAAGTCTCATGTTACATCACAATTTTTTTCACACTTGAGAAATAATTTTTCAACTTCTTTTGAAATTGTGTTTTAAGTTCTGTGCTTTCGTAAGTTCTATTTAGTAGGCTTCATTATATTAGGTTGGTTTATAACAAAAAAGGTTAAATGTGTCAGAAATTAAAGTCTAGAAGGGATGTTCTATGAGTGAACAAAAGGTTCTTTTGTAAAGGTGATAGTGACTGGATTTATTTCTAATGCCTAATGGGAAAAGTTGAAGAGACAAGATGAAAACAAAAATACCCATGGGAGTTGTCTGAAAAATGAATGGCAGTCCCCATGATAGGTGGAAGAATTAGGATTGCACAGAAGGGAAAGGAAAAGCATTTTCTTTTGAGTACAAAGAAAAGAGAGGTAGCAAGTAGAGGCCAGATGGAGTCAGGGTCAGAAGAAATGTATTTTATACATAGAGCAGGAGACCTGTCTACCTGCTAAGGGTTGGGTAGTTTAATAAAGGACTTGAAAAGTGCAAGGAAGTTTTCTTAACAGGAAGTTCTTGAGTCTGTCTTGAAAGTTGGGTATTGTGCTAAAACTTGGGATCTGAATAAAAATAAAATATACTCTATATACTAAAAGTTGGGATCTGAATAAAAATAAAATATACTTTTCCTCAAATCATTTTACCTTGTGGTAAAGAACAGATATAAAAAATAAGCTCATAAAAAGAACCACTGAATTTATTTTTGTTATTGTAAAAGGATTGTACAGAGGGATTCCTGTTACGTAAGTCAGGTAATGAGTATTTTTTTCTTCAACAGTGTCACCTCTTCCCTTATTTTCTCCCAGTTTTTTCCAACCCCACCCAAGTTGTATAGTTAATTTTCAACATAGTCTAGTATCACTGCTGCATTTGTTTACCCTGGTACTCCTCCAAACAGATACACTTATATACAAGACAAAAGGTACAGAAAATAAAAGCAACAAAGAAGAAAAACAAAAAGCAAAATAACAAACCTCATTTTCATTTTTTGGAGTTCATTTCGATAAACATCATTTTATATGATCATATGCACATAGCTATTGAGCCTTTGTGATCCTCGCTTAAGAATATCCTCCTTTGGTCTCACTGTATAAATGAGTCCTGTATAATTTTATCATGTCCAAGTGTATTTTTTTTCTGTTACCATCCAGTGTATTTACTTGTAGATTTAAAGGCACATTCTAATTACAACAAATGAGGTAAACCATGCAACCTGTTTCTTTTTTTTGGTCGGTCATGGGGCTTGAACTCTGGGCCTGGGCACTGTCCCTCAGCTCTTCAGCTCAAGGCAAGCACTCTACCACTTGAGGTACAGCGCCACTTCCGGTTTTCTGGTGGTTTATTGGAGATAGGAGTCTCATGGTCTCTCCTGCCCGGGCTGGCTTTGAACCTCTATCCTCAGATCTCAGCCTCCTGAGTAGCTAGGATTACAGGCGTGAGCCACCAGCGCCCGGCTTGCAACCTGTTTCTTAGGGTCTGGCTTACTTCACTTAGTATAATTTTTTCTGAGTCTTTCCATTTCCTTATGAGTGGTACAATATCATTCTTTCTGATGGAAACATAGAATTCCTTTGGAAGCACTGAATTTAGTTTTAGGTTGAAAGGCTGGGGGACAGCAAGAGGTGCATTTGGACAGATGAAAGGACAATACCAGGGTGAAATGAAAAGGGAGAAAGATGTGAATTCATAGTGGTCATGGCAGCATGGACAAGCAGAGCTACTTAGAAGCAAACACCTTTCTGTTGAGATGTAATACACAGAAAAGTGCAGCTGTCACAGGTATAGTTCTGATGAACAGCCCTATGTAATTCCAGGAATAAGAACATTAACCAGTGGCAGGGTGGACTGAAGAGCAGAGTTAGGCAGGGGGTAGGCAGGATTGTCCATGGTTGGATTGTGGGAGCAGGGAGAAGTGAGGGAAAACAAAGATGATGTTGCATGGCTCCTGCCTTTACAGTTGAACCATTGTTTATTTTTTCCCCAGTTCTGCAAGAGGATCATTATTTTGTAAATTGAGGGAAATATACTGTCTTTGTCTTAGAGAAAATATTGAAAAATTTGTAAAAGATTTATTTGGAAATTGACTTCATTTTATCTTTTTTTTTTTTCTTTAACTCAGGGATATTATGTTCACCATGATATGCTAGGAGAAAAAGGAGATTTCATTACTTCACCTGAAATAAGCCAGATCTTTGGAGAGGTAATACCCAATGTTTATAATAAAAGAAAGAAATATAAGTATTTGAGAGCTGATCAAGTTCTATTAGTCTATAACAGTGCTTTACATGGTAACTCATCAAAAGTGTTTACTTTTAGAGGAATTAGCAAGACTATGAGGGGAAATGCTAGAGAGGACATTTGAAAAGTTTATAATTCCTTGTAGAAGAGGAAGTGGAGCAATATGAAGGAAAAAGGAGGATCAAAGATAGAAGCAAAAGAGGAGAGCCAGGTGAAATACGGGAATGGAAAGAGGGAGAGAGAAAAGGTAAAAAAAGAACACTGAATGGAATCAGGATGATCTGTAAAGCTCCCAGCCATGGTTTAACATAGTATTTTCCTTTAAGAAACAACATTTCTGGAAGTGGAGGTGTGGCTCACGTGGGAAAGCTCCAGCCTTGAGCAAAAAAATGAAAGTGAAAGCAGGAGGCCCTGAATTTAATCCATAGTACACAGACACACACACACCAGAATTTTAGTTTATGTATTTCCATAAAAGCACTTTAAATAATTTAGAAATAGAAAATTGTATATAAGTGGAAGCAGAATCCAGGTTTGATGAACATTAATCATATCTAAGAGATTATATAAATCCAAAGAGCTGAAAGTGACATAATTGCATTGAATATGCCCTATATTTGCTTTCACATACCAGCCCCTTTCTGTAATTGATATCCTTTTATCTGGGTCATGGAACGTTTTATAGAGGATGCTGCCTTACAATTATTCTATTATAATCTTGTAAGCTTTTTCCTGTTATTAAGCTTCCTACATGGTG